TAGCCAAGTGGAGGAAGGAAGGTCAGGAAGAGGAGGGAAGGTCAGGAGGAGGAAGGATGTTCAGGAGTAAGGAAGATCAGGAAGAGGAGGGTGGAAGGAAGGTCAGGAAGAGGAGGGAAGGTCAGGAGGAGGAGGGAGGAAGGAAGGTCAGGAAGAGGAGAAGGAAGGAAGGGTAGGAAGAGGAGGGAGGAAAGAAGAGAAGGAAGGTCAGGAGGAGGAGTGAGGAAGGAAGGTCAGGAGGAGGAGGAAGGAAGGTCAGGAGGAAGAGGGAGGAAGGAAGAGAAGGAGGGAAGGTCAGGAGGAGGAGGAGGGAAGGTCAGGAGGAGGAGGAAGGAAGGTAAGGAAGAGGAGGAAGGAAGGAGGAGGAAGGAAGGTAAGGAAGAGGAGGAAGGAAGGAAGGAGGAGGGAGGCAGGTCAAGAGGAGGAAGAGGAAGGTCAGGAGGAGGAAGAGGAAAGAAGATCAGGAGGAAGAGGAAGGTAGGTCAAGAGGAGGAAGGAAGATCAGCAGGAGGAACAGGAACATAGGTGAAGAGCAGGAGGAAGCCAAACACTCAAGCATTATTCATCAACGACTCCCGCGGGGCTTATCATTACATCATAATAATAGGAGCAAGGACGAGTTCATGACGACTTATGCTGTAGTAAACACGCACAAGGTGGCGCCGCCCTTATTTTGTTTAATTATTTATTCACCTGTAGTCTACCACCACACTCACTCAGTCCTCACTCTCTGACGGTGGAGCAAGTGTTTACAACCATACCTGTTGCTTCTGGTATACTCCGTGGTAGGTGGTGTGGTACATTGTGGTAGGTGTAATGGTGCACTGTGGTAGGTGGTGTGGTACATTGTGGTAGGTGTAATGGTGCACTGTGGTAGGTGGTGTGGTACACTGTGGTAGGTGTAATGGTGCACTGTGGTAGGTGGTGTGGTACACTGTGGTAGGTGTAATGGTGCACTGTGGTAGGTGTTGTGGTACACTGTGGTAGGTGGTGTTGTGGTACACTGTGGTAGGTGTAATGGTGCACTGTGGTAGGTGTTGTGGTACACTGTGGTAGGTGGTGTGGTATGCTGTGGTAGGTTGTGTTGTGGTACACTGTGGTAGGTGTTGTGGTACACTGTGGTAGGTAGTACATTGTGGTAGGTGGTGTGGTACACTATGGTAGGTGGTGTGGTACACTGGTGGTACACTGTGGTAGGTGTTGTGGTATACTGTGGTAGGTGGTGGTAAACTGTGGGTGGTGGGTACACTGTGGTGTAATGGTGCACTGTGGTAGGTGGTGTGGTAAACTGTAGGTGGTGTGGGTACATTATGGTAGGTGGTGTGGTACACTGGTAGGTGTTGTGGTACACTGTGGTAGGTGGTACACTGTGGTAGGTGTTGTGGTACATTGTGGTAGGTGGTGTGGTACACTATGGTAGGTGGTGTGGTACACTGGTAGGTGTTGTGGTACACTGTGGTAGGTGTTGTGGTATACTGTGGTAGGTGGTATGGTAAACTGTGGGTGGTGTGGTACACTGTGGTAGGTGTAATGGTGCACTGTGGTAGGTGGTGTGGTAAACTGTGGTAGGTGGTGTGGTACACTATGGTAGGTGGTGTGGTACTGTGGTAGGTGGTGTGGTACACTGTGGTAGGTTGTGTTGTGGTACACTGGTAGGTGGTGTTGTGGTACACTGTGGTAGGTGTTGTGGTACACTGTGGTGGGTGGTGTTGTGGTACACTAATATAATGAATGCAGTACAGGGTACTATTAATAAATTTTTTATCCTTCTCCTCAAAGTGAAAAGGCTACAGTATGTGGACGTGGGTGCTGGTGGGCGATGGTGGGTGCCATCTGAAACTTCCCACTATACCTGCTGTTGTTCCTAGGCAGTCTGTGCTTCTGTGTCTACTTCTGCTGCTGTTACTGGTAGTTACAGCATTGTCAGGTATGACACAAATAATTCAGATGTTAGAAGAATATGTTCACTGTCTTAGTTCATTTATCATGTTGGTATATTGTCACCTGATAGGATCTAACTCAAGATACTGTTACATATGCAAATTTAAGTTAACCTAACCTAATGAGACTTGAGCGACCATAACCTAACACAACCTCACACTGCTTTCCCTAATTTATAAGTCATAACTTTCCCCGAACTAAATGAACCCGATAAAACTTGTCCTAACTAAACCTGTACAGGGTAATAAGTTTCTCCAGCTTAACTTGATATTATTTTCCCCAACTTAACATTACATAACTTTCCTCAGACTAACTTAACCTGACTGGACAGAGTATTTGCCTTCATCATAAGGGTTGATGGTTCATGTCCGGGGCACTTCTAGTCAACCCAGCTGTGACTGACTGGGTAGTATGGGTACCTGTTTGTAGCTGGGGGAAGTGAAGTGCAGTTCTTTTACTGTTACTGCAGATGATGGAGGAGGTGACATAGATGGAGGTGGACACGTGGCAGGGGCATTATTAACCACCTGGGATTCCCATCTGTGTGCCCCTCCACACATCCTCCCCAGCATCACCTTCGGCCCCCCCGACCCCTACAACTTCACGGTTTGCGCCCTGGTGCATCAACTGTCTGGGGAGAGAAATGAGAGGCAGTCCGGCTTTTTCTACTACAGTGTCAACAACACTAACATTACTGCAAGTAAGTTACTGTCCACACATCTGTGTAGCATAACAGATTGCGAAGATATAATTTTTTATGATAATCTCACCTGTATTCTTGGTTTATTTTCTGTAATTCTTAAATCTGTACTGTATACTGTAGTTCTGTTAAGAGAGAGCGAAAGCAACAATTTACAATATGTGTATCTCATGCACAGGAACAGATTTCTCCATTATAAAAGTGACAGTGGAAGACAAGATATATGTGTTTAACGGCAGCCTTGATCAAGATGTGTGGAACCCTGTGTGTTTTGGCTACAACATTAACCAGAGTGAGGTGAGCAGGTCCTTCATAACAATGTTACACACAACACCAGTTAATATATATATATATATATATATATATATATATATATATATATATATATATATATATATATATATATATATATATATATATATATATATATATATATATATATATATATATATATGAGTGGTCGAACTCAACTCCAGAAGGTCGTTCTAACCAAACGTTCGTTAACCGAAACCATTGTTTCAATGGGTTTTTGGGTATTGGTTCCAGCTTACCGAAAATTTCCTAAATTCAACAAAAATGGTAGAAAAGTTCACTTACTTTGAGGTGTGTATGTAGAAGGCTCCTGGATGATGATGATGATGATGGGATTTAGAATGGGGGTGGAGGAGAAGGAAGAAGAGAAGGCATTGGGGTGGAAGAGAAGTCACCCCATGGCGCCATTTCACCCATAAAATTTTAGCTCTCTGGTTTAATTCAAGATTATTTTCTTTAAATCAACGCTGCACTGCATTATATATTGTCAATATATAAAATATATTTCAAAATGACCAATAATTTGCTTGGAAACACAGAAAAAAAGCGTTTAGTTGAAGAGAGTCTCAAGCAAGATGTTACCTCCAGTGAAAACAAAGAGAGACTGACGCCTGTTTGCTGTATTAAGAGGCTGGATGCCGTGCATTAAACTTGTCACTTTACCTTCAATTTTGTTCAATAATTGTTAAAATGACTAAAAAATTGAATATTAAACTTTAAAATTATTGAATAGTATAAACTTCTGATATTTACAAAAATAGTAAGGAATTTAAGCCCTAGAACCGATTAATGTATTGGCGGACTGATACTAAAGCTGGCTGCCCGGTCAGTGCAAGCGAAAACATGTTGAGGTCGGTTCGTAAGAAGTTCGTTAAGCGAAATTTTTTTCGTTAACCGAATTGAAGATCCTTATGGAAGGCAGTTCAGTTACTTAACCATATATATAATTTCATTATAACCGAAACCATTGTTTCAATGGGTTTTGGGTAATTGGTTCCAGCTCACCGAAAATTCCTAAATTCAACAAAAAATGAAAAGTCACTTACTTTGAGGTGTGTATGTGTGATGATGATGGGGATTAGAATGGGGGTGGAGAGAAGGGAGAAGAGAAGCATTGGGGTGGAAGAGAAGTCACATGGCCCATTATAAAATTTTAGTTCTCTTGGTGTATTTCAAGATTATTTTCTTTAAATCAACACTGCACTGCATTGTATATTGTCAATATGTAAAATATATTTCAAAATGACCAATAATTTGCTTGGAAACACAGAAAAAAAGCATTTAGTTGAAGAGTCTCAAGCAAGATGTTACCTCCAGTGAAAACAGAGAGACTAACGCCTGTTTGCTGTGTTAAGAGGCTGGATGCCGCGCATTAAACTAGTCACTTTACCTTCAATTATGTTCAATAATTGTTAAAATGACTAAAAAATTGAATATTAAATTTTTAAAATTATTGAATAGTATAAACTTCTTGATATTTACTAAAATAGTAAGGAATTTAAGCCCTAGAACCGATTAATGTATTGGCGGACTAATACTAAAGCTGGTTGACCGGCCAGTGCAAGCGAAAACATGTTGAGGTCGGTTCGTAAGAAATTCGTTAACCGAATTTTTGTTCGTTAACCGAATTTAAGAATCTTATGGGAGGCAGTTCGTTAACCGAAATTTCATTAACCGAGGTGTTCGTTAACCGAGGGACCACTGTATAACAGATTCACAGTGTTTTGGTGGTGGCAGTACTTTCTCTGATGGTAATCAGTAATATCCTCACCTGATAAATTACTCACTTCTGCTACACACACAATAGTAATGTGACAATACTAAGATCAGTGTGTGTATTAATATTAAGATAAATAATTATACCGTATGCATTGATAGAAATGTATAATGTTGAAGTTCTCAAAAACATATTGTAATTATTGCAGGCATGGTTTGTCTCAGAAGGAAAGTTTCTGGACTTGAGTGTGATTGAAAATAATACCGACCCACATGATAACTCTTCTGTTTGTATTGGAATACCTACAAGCTACATGGCTTCCACCATAGCAGCGGTGTCAGTGGTGGCAGGCGTCATGGACGAGCAAGATGCACACCTTGTTACCTGTGATGCCGTGGTGTATGCCAGCCTTGCGGCCTCCACCTTAGACAATACCTGGTACGAGGATGGCGAGACCTGGCGGACTGAATTCAAACGTGAAGAACTATGCTCCAAGTCCACACATAATTTTTGGTTGAAACAGTCTTGCGATTACTTAGAATGTAATAAAGTATGCACAGGATTTGGAGGACATCTGCTCACAGTACCATCACATCTGGAGAACCTAACAACCAGTGTGCCCCTGATGTGTCCCACAGATGAAACACAAGTGTCATGGACGAGTCACGACTACCAGGAAGATGGGCCATTAACTGCTAAGTGTCCAACTTTACTCCTCAATGGGACGTCTGCATTTCGGTTTTGTCTGAGCGAGCTTGAGTGCAGCCTGTGTCAAGCTCCAATGTGGCTCCGCTTTATGCTCTACGGTGACATTCGAGGTTTTGACAGAGCCTTCTTCTTGAAAAGTCAACCAGGTGGAAATATTTACTTCGAGGGATTGACCACTTCTATAATATCCATAAGAGGAAGTTCATGGGTGTTGAGTTCTCGTATACACCATCGATTTTGGCAGCTGGGCCACAGCTCCTGGCCCATCGGGAGACGTGTTTGGCGCTCTGGCACTACAAATACAACCCTGACGCTTACATCATGCACTGTACTCCAGTTCTCCTCTGATGATGGACACTGTATTTCCCGGGAGAAACGATGTAACAGCCTCGTTGACTTTCCTGACCGAAGTGATGAGCTAGGGTGCCTAGACCGGGTGGTGCAGAAAAATAATTCATATGAACACCTTGTACCACCGACTCATAACAATGAAAATGAAACTGATGTATATTACTGGTTCAATGTGAAGAATATTAGGGAGATAACTACCACAAATGCTATAGCAAACATTGATATGTCTGTCATTCTTTACTGGAGTGATCCCCGGCTCGTCATGTGGGACGCTGGCAATAAAGGGATCAGTTTCTTTATCTGTGATGATATATGGCATCCAAAATTAGGGATCCGTGCTGGGTATGAAAATAAGGGCCAAGAAGTTAACTATGAAGTGTACACGTCAGAATGTGCTGTGATTCACTCACTCAGCCACCATCAGTACGATATGGATGATCCTTATATGGGTGGGTAAAGCTGTATGTCTGCTGTGTCTTGCTCAACCTTTTCAAGCAGTAGTCGATGGTTTAGTACAAAATGAGTTCTTTTTCTCTCATGAATATCTACCTGCATTTTTCTGGTTAAAAATCAATATCATATACTGTACTGTATATTAAAAAATGAAGGGAAACAGTTCAGCACTAAAACAAAATATGAATGTTTAGTACACACATACATATTAAGGAATTGAGTGACTTGTATAACATACATTTCTTCACCTTCAGGAAGGTTCGTGTATGGTGAGGAGAGGAACCTAACTAAGTTGATGCAGCTTCTCCTAGCACTTCCCTGCAACTTTGAACTCCACCGCTACCCATTTGGACAACATCAATGCAATGCCACGTTTTACTTGAAAATTTTTGAGGGAGATAAGGAGTTGAAAACAATTTTGGAATCTGGCGAAATAAATTACTCAGGAAAAAAAAACCTCTTGGATTACAAGTTGCTGAAAGTAACATTTGAAAACACAAGTTCCTTTGCTACCCTGACACTACACTTACAGAGCCAGTGTGACTATCACATGTTGACTAGCTTTGCCCCCAGCGCTCTAATGTTCATTATCTCCTACTCCAGTCTCTTTTTCCCTATGGCCTTCTTCAGCGATAGGATCATGGTGTCGCTCACGGCTCTGCTGGTGTTGGCTGCGCTCTTTGCCCAAGCTTCCGACTCCTACGTCAAGACGCCCTACTACAAGCTCATCGATGTCTGGTACGCAACCATGATTTGCCTCTGCTTCACTGTGGTCATGACCAACGTGGTAACGAATTGCCTCCAACACATGCCCCAGGAATTCACTTACTCGCTCGTGTCCACAAGGGATGGTGATGGCACAAAGCGAGGCACACCAGCCAACTCACCACGGAGGGCAGTATATTTTAACACTGTCAGTAAAGTGCTTCACATTGCTCTTTTTACCTCACTGGTCACTGTCTTCATTATGTTTGCAACAGATGTGATCTAACTGAAAACTGCTTTTGTTATGGCCAAGGTTGTGTTCATCAGTAAAACATGATGCAGGTCAAAAAGTTCAGTACAGTAATGTACCATACAGGCTGAGGAACAAACTCAAAATTTTAAAATCTTAATCATTGTTTCCTGTGATAATCACAGAAGTAAACAACACATTGCTTTCATTGCTGGATGAAACTCGGACTTATATACAGTACAAAACATTTCTAAACAGTATATTGTAGTGTGTCTGATAAGATTTACTTAAGCTTTCCTTTACACGTCACAACTTACATGTTAAGAGTGTATTACGGGTACCATAACCAAGTAAGAATCCTTTTGTCCATGATAATATTTTATGTTGACATTGATACTTTTTCTTGACTAAGAAAATAAATATTGCAGTAGTATTTATCTCCATGCAGCTACTGGAAGACAACTTTTGGGACTGCTGTTTGAAGGAAGAAAAATTATTAATGTATACAAAGATAGATAAAAGTATAATGGCATGATTTTATAATAGCTGCTCCATCTTAGTCATAGTTACTTTCATACATTTCCAGTTATGCAGAACGCTGCTGTCTTTTAGTGATATGTACTGTACGTACAGGTAACCACGTGGCCTTAGCAACACTGGAAAACTGAACATTGGGGATTTGTCCCTGGACTGTGTTGATGAGTGCTAGAGGTGGTGCTGAAGCCAGTTCAGTCACAGGAGTCAGAAGTGGCTGGAGGAAGTTTAGGGAGATACTGTCTATTGACAGGAGGAGAAATTTTCTTTTGAGAGAAAGGAAAGATGTACGCAATTTCCGTGAGAAATGTGATATAGTAAGGCACTAAAACATGGCAGTTATAGACGATGACATTCACAGGCTTGAGCAAGCTGAACTGAGAATGGTGAGGTGGATGTACAATGTGAAACTGAAAGATGGGAAATCCTATTCAGAATTAAGAGGGCGGCTGGGTTTAGAAACTACAGTAATAGTGAAGGTTTGCGTAGAAGCAGGCCGAGATGGTTTGGGAGAGAATTATTCTTTGTGAGAGAAAGGAAAGATGTGAACGCAATTTGCGAAGAGAAATCGTGATATAGTAAGGCACTAAAACATGGCAGTTATAGACGATGACATTCACAGGCTTGAGCAAGCTGAACTGAGAATGGTGAGGTGGATGTACAATGTGAAACTGAAAGATGGGAAATCCTATTCAGAATTAAGAGGGCGGCTGGGTTTAGAAACTACAGTAATAGTGAAGGTTTGCGTAGAAGCAGGCCGAGATGGTTTGGGCATGTGAAGATGCGCGAGTCTAAATATGGATGGAGGAGAGCCATAATAACAAAGGCAAAAGTTGTAAGAAATGATATTAAGAATTAAGAACCTGACAAAAGAGGCTGCAAGTGACCATGCACAATGGAGAACTGCCATCAAGTAATCTTGGGTAATCCACACAAGCATGGAAAAATGTTGATGATAAGCTTAACAAGACATTCATGTCCATAAAAATTCCTTCGACCTTCGCACTGGAATACCAAACAGCCTCTCGTGTTGACAAGGTGTTTGTTTATACTACATAATGACAGTCATATAATTACACACATTGTAAGTCTAGCACCTCAGTAATCATGCATGCCATCTCTACTCTCTCATATGTGTTACTATATCATAGCTTTTATTGGGTTACGTGTTGTGTAACAACCGGGTGCATTGTGTAAAGACGCTTTTCACTGTCTGTCTGTCGGTCATATCTCTGTTCATTCCTCATCTGTCTGTCTTCTCATTATTTGTTTCTCTATCCTTTTTTCCTGTCTGTCTACCTCAGTCTAGTTTTGTCTCCATTTTTCCTAATTCTGTCTGTCTGTTTCTCATTCATTTATGTCTATCTCTTTTATTATCTTTCTCATCTGTTTGTCTTTAGTGCCCTTTTCTGTTTGTCAATCAATTATTTCCTATTCTTCGTCTGTTTCTTTCTATCTGTTTCCCACTGTAACTATTTCTTTCATTTTGTGATTGTGTGTGTCTGTCTGTCTGTTTGTTTGTCTCTTTTGCACTGCTTGTCTCTCTCTGTCTCCTGTTTCACCTATACATTGCTTTCATTCTGCATTTCTCTCTCTTATCTCTATTTTATCTTCTCTCCTCCCTTTCTCATCTTTATTTTGTCTCCTTCCTTCTCTCTCATCTCTATTTTTTTCTTCCTTCCTCTCTCTATCTTAATTTTCTCTTTCTCTATCCCATCTCAAAATGGAAAATGAGACAAGAGATACATTACAACAACTATACGTACTGTACTGTATACTTAAATGTTCTTGATCACATGAATATTAACCCCATAGTTTATTTCACTGACCTAATCCCTCCAGATAGAGTTAAAGTGTTTAATCATCAGGTGAAATAAGCCTGGCCAGGTAATCTTCCAGTGATCCAATTTTCCTTATATCTGTATTATTAAAGAACAGTACAGGTGCTCCTTTACTTATGAACGAGTTATGCTCCTGAAGCGTGTTCATACGTAAGTCCAATTGTTTGTAAGTCCAACTTTACTCTTGTAGATACCAAACATATTGTAAAAAAGTGAAAAGATAATATGATGTTTAGTACTGTACTGTATTTCACTAACAAACTTGATAGATATAAAATTCATAAGAGTTTGGATAAATAATAATTCATCAAGACCTTTTAATATATGTGTTCAATTTGTAAACTTAGTTGTCAACTTCCTGTGAATCCGTCCATGTGCTATAGATGGAATTTGTATATACAGTCCTCTTCACTAGTGGGTTTACAGGGGCTCATTATATAAACATTCCACAAATCATTACTTAAAGATATTTGTTGTAATATTGTTTTACGTTCATTCTATAATATGTTTACTATTGTGAGTTTCCTTTGTCTAATGTAAATAAACACAGCGCTGCCACACTGCATAAAACCTGATGAGCCCCTGTAAATGCACTAGTGAAGGGGACTGTACTTTGGGATCGCATAAATTATTGCACCCCCCTCCCCTCCTACACGTACAGTGGGGTATGCTATAACGAACGGATCCTACTACGAATATTCCTATAACGAACGGTTTTACCTATAAAATTGAGAATGCTATAACGAACGAAACTCCTACAACGAACATTATTTAATTTTTTTTTTTTTTTTACTAATTTATTGTTTTTTTATTACAATTATTGATGATATTCTTTATTTCAGGGGTTTAGATGCATATTAATGCACTTTTTTACAATTTTATATTATATTTTTCAGTGTTAAGTGGTTGTATTTGGGGGCCTGGAACGGATTAATCCTATAACGAACAAAGTTCTAGAACCAATTAGATTCGTTATAGCATACCCCACTGTATTTCATCTTAATATTATTTACCTATACCTACCGCTACCTGGGTTAGGTTAAAGTTAGAGTGGTTAATCTTAAAGGTTGAAGAAGCCACAAGTCCAGAAAACTGTGAGGTGTAACTTTTTCGGAGTCAGAGTTGTCAACTCTTGGAACAATCTGCCAATGTGTTGTGACGGCACCGAGTGTGAGCTGTTTCAAGACCAGACTTGACCAACACAGGAGCAGGTTCAGGTACATTCAGGAGTCAGTGCATGACTAGTACTACTTGCCAACAGTGACGTGACCGACTGCCCAAGCGGCTAACGAGCCGATCAGTGGCGAAGAGAATAAAGGTAAATAAATTGCGACGGAAAATCTTCAGGTGGTCCGTAATTCATTTATAACACTATTATGATGCCGGTGATCACAATTCCTGTTTTTAAATGCGTGTGTGTACTGTATTCACGTATAGATTAAAACACCATTTCCATGAATGCATAATGACCAAACTCACTGTATTTGCACTGTTGCATATGAATAAAGGTTTTAGAAATTGGTATGTGTTCCTACCTGTTATGTACGTACTACTGTAAGCAAATAAATAACTGTAGGTGCACATGATCTTTGTATATGCCGATAACCACACAAGAAAAAAGAAAACACAAAGTTCCCAAGCGTGTGGTTCTCAGCATAATACTGTATGTAACTGATTCATGTTATTTGTACTAATACAATACAGTACAGTACTGTGTAATACAAATGCATGGCCAACTTAAAAAGCTTTAATTGAAGCTGCCATACACAAATGCTATGCAAAAATAGGCATGTATGTTAATTAAAAGCTTTTCTTTAATGTTTGGATTGTCAAATATGTTCAGTTGGAGTCTTAATTTGATGTAACCTTACATAATGATAATAATACTAATAATCCATTGAAAGTTACTTCATTGACTAGTATCATATATCACCTGAAGATTAACCCCCAGCTTATTTCACCTGATTATTAAACAGTTTAATCCTACTTGAAAGAGTGAGTTAGGTTAGGTTAGCTGGGGGTTTAATCTTCAGGTGATCCAAAATTTCATAATAACAAGAGTGGCAGCTTTACACACACACACTATATAATAACACAATGTTGTTATAACAGCCTCATAGTAATATATAATTAGTCTCTCGCTTAACCCTTAAACCGCGCAATGGAAAACTGAGTAATCTGTGTAAACCAAAAAAATAAAATAAACAAATAAATATATAAATAATCATAATAATAAATAAATAAATAAATACATACATAAAAAAAATACCGAACATAAATAAATAAAAAATGTTTCTATAATTGTTAAAAACAACTGTATACTGTACTCATATAATAATTTTCATGTAAATTTATAGACAAGTACTCTGCCGAATGATGAGCTTTGGAAAATAAATTCTTTACTTACATAACTCTTCTGGTGTGTGTTTTTCTCTATGTGCAATTCCGTTAAAACAATACTGAACTGTACTGTATGCAATGGTGGTCAGAGTACCATTGCCCTCCCTCTTATCACTCACTGAACAGCAAGACATAAAACTTCCAATTGAGACAGAACTTATGCTCTTCTTGCCTTAGAATGCTGCTCACATATCCACTCTCATAGACCTAAAACAAAGAGCAGAAACACCATACTCATTCAAATGTCTCGGAGGAAACTGAGCTCATCAACTAACACTCACCGCAGTGTAGGGGTTAAGGACTTGAGGCCTCCCATACCTCTAATAGCAGTATTATATAATTAGGGGATGAATGTGAGGGGTAGATTTCACTTTTGGATTTCACGAATTATTTTCTCTTGGATGTAAAGTTGATGCCAGCTTGAGGACAGTATCCAATATAACATCCAAGCTTGTTACATCGCTCAGCCTGTGGCCCGCATGCTTGAGGTATGTCAAGGTTACATTGGGGGTCTGAAGAGCTGGAAGAAGTTGGAGAGATTCCATGTAGGGGACATCTTTATCCTGCAGGAAAAGATAAATTGTCCTTAACACCAATAGATATGGAAATTAATAACCCTGGATCATCATACTTATCCTATCATACATGTTACAATACAGCACATAAGGTACTCACTTGGGTAAATCTACCAAACATGCTTGGTACAGTATTTAAATCTACTGTAAAAATTTTCCTAAATCTATCATACACACTTAACTCTATCATCTGTACTACATAAATCTATTGTACAATGTTAGGTAAATTTATCATATTTACTCGAATCTTTTTATCATACACAGTGACCCTCTCATGAATGTACCATAAGTAATTATAAACTTATTGCATCGTAAATACTGACCTTGATGCCATGGATAATTCTTACGGGACAAGTCACTGGCATACTATCCGTGGCCTTTGTTATATTGAACTGTTTCATGTCCTCAAACTGCGCCAACGACAACGGGAATTCCCCATAGTCCGGAGCGTACAGGTTGACAACTCCACCGTCCTCATATTTCTTCAGGAGTTTGGGAGTTAACTGTGACAGCAGTACCTTCTCATATTTCTCACCAAAATTAAATGCTGGTGCCAACATCAGAAGACCTGCAAACTTCTCAGGGTGTTCCTTGGCTATGATGCTTGATATCTAGAAGAGAAAGAGAAAGGATATTACTCGTATTTTATCTTAAAAGCTAAAGAGAGAGAATTAAAATCAGTCTATGGGTGGGTCACTTGTGAGAGAAGTACTATACAGTAATGAGGGAAATATACTGGAATGTTATGAAGAGATTATAGTTTCCTGAAGACATCTCCCTCTCCAGTAATGGTCGGGACTGGTGACACAAGACTTAGAGGCACAAGAAACAGCTAACAAGTTTGTACTCAACAACCTGAGTCCTAATAACCCAACTCTTTGTTATATTCCAAGACTGTAGAGTACTGTATATGCTGAAAGTTACCCTGTGTTGATGTGTCAGCTGAGTCATCTTGCAGTACTATACTATACAGGCAACTCTTGAGAGCTAGTACTGTACAGTACTGTATGTGTTCCCTGACTTTGTGAACATGATGTACAGCTCCAAACATTGTTCATCCACTGCCCTTCCTTACGTGATGAAAATTAATACCAAGAAAATGTACAGTATTAGTGGACTTGGGGTCAATGGACACACCTGCAAAGATCAGACACACCAATTTTGTAATTTTTGTGTCACATTCCAGCAAATCATGTTTCCTTCACAACACAATAAATGTCAATTAACTCAATAACACACCAACACACAGTTACCTCAAACCAATAGATATTATATAATGAATAACCTTTATATGAACCCACCCAACATCCCATAGAAGAAGCGACTATAATCTGTGGACCATCGGACACTTTGATGATTATTTCCCTGGCATCCTCGACCCACGATGACATTCTTGCCTCTGTGAGCTCAACACCTTCACTGTCACCCAGTCCTGATGGATCATACCTGTAAAGTATAGAGCAATTAACTTGTGGGTCTTTACCTGCTATCCTATCATGAGCCAATGACAAACATTGTAATGGAATCTTACATTTACTGAGCATTAAGGGAGATAATTGTTGCAGTGTAATGCAATACAGTAAGACCTCGCTTAATGTTGAGGTTACGTTCCTGAAAAAGCGACGTTATACAAAACAACGTAAAGCGGATCAATTTTCCACATAAATAGAAAAAATACGGGAGTTACGTTCCCCAGCCTCCCTTTGCCCCATAAAATACATTACATATGCAGAAATTCAATGATATTTTTATAGAAAATAGCATATATATATATATATATATATATATATATATATATATATATATATATATATATATATATATATATATATATATATATATATATATATATATATATATATATATATATATATATATATATATATATATATATAAGATATAGATATATATATATAACAATGAGTTTAATGGCTATGGCGCCATAAGCTCGCTGAACAGGCTTTGTGTGAAATATAACAAAGTCTAGGACTACTTTTAGTATCCTGGTGGTCCAGCGGTTAGCATGCGTCACAGACATAGGCTTGTGTGCCGGGGTCTGAATCCTGGCGGCTGAGGTGTTGATTGTATGTAGAAGTCCGCGTGCTTTATTGGGCTAATGAAATATATATGGATCCTCGTGTTTCGAAGCCGGATTTGGTAAAACGTTACTCTGACCACCTACGTGATACGGGTAGTCCCATTAGAGGTTCACGGCGCCATAAGCTCGTTGAACAGGCTTTGTGTGAAATATAACAAAGTCTAGGACTGCTTTTAGTATCCCGGTCCAGGTAGCATGCCCCTGTCACAGACATAGCTTTGCGCGTGGTTCGAATCCTGGCGGTTGAGGTGTTGATTATATATATATATATATATATATATATATATATATATATATATATATATATATATATATATATATATATATATATATATATATATATATATATATATATATATATATATATATATATATATATATATATAATCATTTTGTATTGTACTCACTGATGGACAGAGGTGGTGGAGTGAGTGTGTGGTGGGTAGTGGAGAGCAGAAGGAGGGTAGAGAGTCACTAAGACCCAGCGGGTGGCACCTCCTCCCGGTTTAAAACCTCCATTTTTGTAGCAAGGCTAATGGTCTTATGTTGCTTCTTCACAACACTGGCATCAGTAGCACTTGTTGAGCAATTGGAAGTCATTTTGAATGGTTAGAGTACATTCGTTACAGCAAAAACACTTAAACAAAACACAAATGATGTGGAAGCTTAACAGAGACTGGCTTGGCGTCGCTTGGGAATGCTGTGACGTTCCTCTAGTGAGAGGTAACAAGCCAAGCCGAGAGAGCGTAGCACGGCCAAATGAGAGAGGGTGATGCGCCGTAAAAAGTAGTCCGTGATGACGCAAAAGAGACGTTAAATTGAGTTGTCGGGACGTTAAACGAATTATTGGTAGATAAAGAGTAGCGACGTTGTATAGAAACAGCGTTATCGGGGTGACGTTATACGAGAACTTACTGTACTGTACTCATTATTTTACCCCCTGTAACTATAGACAGGATTAAGACTGATGCTGTCAAAAAAGCCATAATGTTAAAAATTAAAAACAGGAAAAATGAGTGTAGTGTAGAGTATTGTGAAGATGAGCAGGAGTGTGGTGACAACTTGATACTGACATCATTACTTCTCCACCTAATTACCTGGGTACTTAACATAATCATATAACCTGAAGATGTGTCACTCAACTTATTCTCCTGAAGATTAAATACCCTAACACAACCTGAGAGGTTAGGTTGAGTTCATCTACAGGTGAAGGAAAGTGGGACAAATCTTCAGGTGACACACACAGTCTTACCTCACATAAGGAAAGCCATACTTCTGACAAAATGGATGTAATTCTTGAGCTTTAATGCCAGACTTGTCAGACATAAATCCTGGTACATAGATCACTCCTACAGACCGTGGCCCACTTGTCTTGTGGTAGGCAATTCTCCGTACTTTTCCAGATTTTGTATCTTTTATCTAAAGAGAAAAAAAAAGAGTAAAGGTACAGTCTGGGTCAAAAGTGTTGAACACTTGGCAATATCTGGCATCTACTTGCGAGTTATATGATTGTGAGGGAATTACTACACCACGTGAGGCCCCTCATAACAACATCTGTGAGGGAATTACTACACCACGTGAGGCCCCTCATAACACCATCTGTGAGGGAATTACTACACCACGTGAGGCCCTGCATAACAACATCTGTGAGGGAATTACTACACCACGTGAGGCCCCGCATAACACCATCTGTGAGGGAATTACTACACCACGTGAGGCCCCTCATAACACCATCTGAGGGAACTACTACACCACGTGAGGTCCCTCCTAACACCATCCGGGAGGGAGTTACTACACTACGAGTTTGCTGTTCAACACCTACATTAATCTGTATGTTCACTGTATGTTCCTTTACCTTTCTCTAACGAAGGCTTTTGTTAAACCACCAATGTATGTAATAAGTCATTTATGTCCAATGTATATTTTCAGCCTTCGGGCTGCAGAACTTTTTCAATAAACCGTTAATTATTATTATTATTATTATATTATGCCTGAACCACAAAATGGGATAAAACTCTCCTTAATACCCAAGATCTTCGAGTACTTACATGCCAAATACATGTACTGTCAAGTGTTCAAGACTCTTCACCCCGACTGTGCTTCTACATTATAACACCAAATCAAATACAGACTTTCAGAAACTTCCCAAACACATAATAAATATTCAATGCCTATGAACTAGCAAATACAATGGGTAATGTGAAGATTAGGCACCCCATCTGATTTCACTGGATGAATAAATTTCTTAAGGTTACCTAGAGGTTAGGTTAGTTTACGTTAAATTGTCAAGTGTCTATTTGGGGATTGTCATTACGGCACATAATGAGACTGAAAGAGACCCCTTAGGCATAGTCAGAGAGAAGTCACACTACAACCCTCCCCCACCCAACTAACATTATGGGTAAAGTAACAGTGAAGCTTTGAGGTTTGAGTCTAAACAGGGAACTTTTCCCAAATTCTTCATCGTGGGTTTCAGAACATAAGGTGCGGTAAGTGTAATGCGGATTAATTATTTGACTGTACATAACCTAACATAGCCTAACCTAACCTAACCACATCTAATTCCCAGGGACTGTAAGCACTACTCATAAGTACACAAGAGCGAGGCAAACTGAAAACTTGTGAGAAGAAATGAGGGAAGTATGAAATAAACTGGGAAAGTTATGATGCACTGGGGAAAAGTAAGAGAGGAATACAGTATATATAAAAAAAAAGACAAATGAAAATCTGTTATGAATTCGGACAAATATAACACACTGAATGCAGGTATGGCAGCCATATAGTTGAACTGTGTGGGTGATGGTATGGCAGAGAATCATGCATGAGTATAATGCGAAGATGTTATGTTAGGTTAGCATTAGGCTGTCGTACCAATAGACACAGATGTTTCGCATATAGCTGCCGTACCCAGGGCCGGATTCAGGAGAGGGCAAAGTGGGCAGCTGCCCAGGGGCCTCCACAATCTGGGGGCCTCCACATGTGCGGTAGTAGCTATATCAGGACTGGTCGACTTGAAACCACATGAATGACTCCAGTCATGTCTCACTTTTGTGTGTGTGTGTGTGTGTGTGTGTGTCGGGAATTTGTACACTATCAATAAATATACAGTTAATTAAAAATTTCTCAATGTTCTAATTTCCTCAATATAACTGCATATGGCTTCAAAATTCTCCAAAGAAGTGTTCACGTTTCAAAAATTTCCCGGGGGGCTTACAGCGCCCCCCGGAACTCCCAGATGCTTAGGCTCGCTTCACTCGCCACCCAACCCTCTTGGGTAGTTATAATGAGGGGGGCCTCTACAAAGAGGCTGCCCATGGGCCTCCACAGGTCTAAATCCGGCACTGGCCATACCTATATCTTGCACAAAAATAAAAAAAGGAAATTATTGCTAGACAAACTGGATAAAATGTAAAATGAACTTGAAAAATATAATTGACACGCACTTCATGGAATAGTGTCTCTGGTTCAGTAGCGGACACATGAAACTTCTTCAGCAACGATACAGCTGGTGTGTGTGTCTTATGGAGCAGCGCGACGCCTCTGTGCAAGACTCGACTCGTGCTGAAGACCTGCATCATTCCGCTGCTTGAACTGAAAACAATAACAAACTCTGTAATACAAGCTGACAAATGCCAAAGATAGTAAAGTTCAGTTTAACACTTTGAGGATGATAGTTTAAATTATAAGTCTTTGTGGATGATGGTTTAAGTACAGATACACAATGGATGTAGGCCTGAGTGATATACACAACTAGACAGTACCGTATAAGTTATCTATGGTATATAAAACACTGGTATAGTAAAGCAAAACAACATCCTGTATTATTATTGTTTCGGTCATCCAGCGAGGTGAGGTTAGGTTAGGTTAGGTTAGGTTAGGTTAGGTCAGGTTAGGTTAGGTCAGGTTAGGTTAGGTTAGGTTGAAATTATGTTTTTCCGGTGGTTTTTGTTATGAACGATATGACCTTTATGTCAAATATGTTGATGACCGAAACGATAATTTTACCCACCATCCACCTCCTCACTTGTAACTATTAGATAAGATATATTTCTTTATTTTTTGTATTTTATAATTTTCGTCACTTTACCAGCAGACTACACTCACCATTCAGCCGGTGTGTGTATCATGTATTGGATCACTATGATTGTACAGTATTAACAACAAACCTTATTGGCATGATAAAAAACAACTATTTTATCATAACTTACCAAATGGCACGAAGTAATTTATTAGTTATTGGGGTTTTAATTAATAAATACTTATAACTGTTTGCGGTTTGTTTATATTCTGTAGGGAGGATGACCACTGTTAAGGTATACCATGAACACCTCCACCTACCCTTACCCTTATCCTCTACACCACTGATTGGCTCTGTCACACACTGTTGGTAAGTACTGGTCATGCACCGGCTCCTGACTGTACCTGAACCTGCTCCAGTGTTGGTCAAGTCTTTAAACAGCTCACACTGGGTGCCGTCACAACACTCCCTGGTAGAGTGTTGTGACGGCACCTTATGAGGCGGGTCCCACTAATTACCCAAATGTAGCCGCAATGAAGTCAAATAATGGTCCTACAAACTTTTTAAACTTTTATCCTCTTCGCCACTGATCGGCTTGTTAGCCGCTTGGGCGATCGGTCACGACTCTTTTCCTTTATATTCTTCACCAAAAGGTCGGCTCGCTAGCCGCCCGGGCGATCGGTCACGTCTCTGTCACGCACTGTTGGCAAATACTGGGCATGCACCGGCTCCTGAATGTACCTGAACCCGCTCCAGTGTTGGTCAAGTCTTCTCTTGAAAGAGCTCACACTCGGTGCCGTCACAACACTTTCTGGTAGATTGTTCCAAGAGTTTACAACCCTCACTCCGAAAAAGTTTGCCCTCACGGTTTTCCGGACTTGCGGCTTCTTCAATCTTGAGCTGTGACCCCTTGTGGGGCGAGCGTCCGCCAGCTCCAAGTAAGGACACTCAACTGAGTAGTGCCCCCTGAGATGCTTATAAACCTCAACTAGGTCCCCCCTTGCCCGTCTGTAGTATAAGCTAGGCAAGTTCAGGCGCTCCAATCTCGCAGGGTAGCTGAGATGCCGAAGTGCAGGCACCAGCTTGGTGGCCCTCCTTTGAACATTTTCAACCAACTGACAGTCCCTAGCATATCTCGGGGACCAGATGGGGTGACAGTACTCCAGATGGGGAAGCACTTCACTCCTGAAGATCGTCACGAGGGACGGACCGTCTAGATATCTGAACGACCTTCTTATAAGACCCAATAATTTATTTGCCTGATTTACCTTCTTCTCACAATGGCCCGAGAACTTCAGCTCATTGTCAACATACACACCTAGGTCCTTCTCACACACAGTCTCAACTAGTACATTTTCTTCATCCCGTTGGGACATATGGTACGCCTCCTTACCGTTGGTACGCCCCAGGTGCATCCTCTTACACTTCGTGACATTGAATCTCAGCAGCCATTCCTTCGACCATTCCTGGAGCCCACAGAGGTCCTTCTGCAGCTCTTCACAGTCCGCTTGGTTCTTAATTTCCCGAAATAACTTGGCGTCATCGGCAAACATTTGTATGGAGGAGTGTACAACGTCAGGCATATCATTTATGAAACAAACAAACAACAGCGGGCCCAATACACTACCCTGCGGTACCCCACTTGTTACAGGTACAGATGACGATTTCGTGCCATTAATCACCACACATTGCTTGCGGTCATGTAGAAAGTCTTCTATCCACGCTAGGACATTTCCCCGAATTCCGTACCCTTCCAGTTTGATTTTCAGCCTTTCGTGGGGTACACTGTCGAAAGCCTTGGCAAAATCTAGGTAAATATTGTCGATATTACCACCCCGTTCTAGAATATGGGTCCAAATATCCAATACCTTGAGCAATTGTGTCAAGCAAGAGCGCCCCGGCATAAAACCGTGTTGGCAATCTTTTACAAGGTTGTTTCGTAGTAGATGTTCCATCGCTGCATCTCTGATAATACTCTCAAGTACTTTACATATTATGCTGGTCAGGCTCACCGGTCTATAGTTGTTCGTGGAGTGCCTATCGCCCTTCTTGAAGATAGGACTCACATAAGCCACTTTCCATTCACTGGGGACCATTTGTTCATCCAGGCATTTACAAAACAGAATCTTCAGGGGCTCTGCAAGCTCGTTGCACAGCTCCCTTAGCACTCTAGGATGCACCATGTCAGGTCCAGGACTCTTATGGACCTTTAGCCTGGACAGTTTATTTCTAATACCCTCTTCTGTGAACACAATGTGGGTCAGTGCTGTGTCGAACCGTCTGTCCTCAAACGCAGGAAGGTTAGTTGCATCCTCTCTTGTGAACACTGAGGAAAAGAAGCTGTTCAATGCCTCAGCTTTATCCTGGTCAGAATCTGCGTAACTACCATCTTCAAGCCTCAGGTCTGATACTCCTACTCGCGTTTTCAATTTCGACTTTGCATAGCGGTAAAACGCCTTTGGGTTTGACTTGACCTCGCGTGCAACCAGCCTTTGGAACTCCTTTTCAGCCCTCCTACACTCTATCTTTGCTTGGTTTCTGGCTCTTGCATACATCCTCCTGTCCTGCTCATCGTTTGACCCAACCCACGTCTTGAATTTCTGGGTTTTCTTCTTAATTTTGTCGACCGCCGCATGGTTCATGTGTAGGGATCCCCTCGTATTCCTAGAAGCACTGGGTTTGGTCTTGGGTATATATTTATCGATCAAATGGGTCATTTTACTAGTTATGATATTCAGCGTAGTGTCTGCGTTCTTGTACCTTAATAAGTCAGGCCAGTTGATACCCCTCATCTCTTCCCTCATCCCATTGTAATTTCCCTTGTAATATTTGCACCTTGGCCTGGCCTTATCTTGAACTAGGTAACAGTTAAATCTGAATGACAACACTGTATGGTGACTGGTGCCAACTGGGGCAAGGTGTTCCAGTTTGGCCACCATACCCTCCTCGTTTGTTATGATGAGGTCAAGTGGCTTGGGTGTTTGTTCCCCTCTGTAATGTGTCGGGTCTCTCACATTGGTAAACTTAATTTAATCTGAGTTAATAGATCGAGTGCATGTACCTAACCTAAACTAACCTAACACAACACAATTCAGATTAAATTAAGTTTACCAATTTTTTTTTGACTTTATGACACCAAATAATAATCGAGAAGTGATTCACAGCCCGAATTACGCTTGTACGACCATCATTTGACTTCATTGCGGCTACATTTGGGTAATTAGTGGGACCTTATGAGGCTGTTCTGTAGATGCCTGGATGAGCAAAAGGTTGATTGGAAAATGGCTATTGTGAGTCCTATTTTCAAGAGGGGCGATCAACACTTCTGGAATAACTATAGAGCAGTGAGCCTGACCAGCATAGTATGTAAAGTACTGTACTTGAGAGCATTAGAAGAGATGCCATGATGGAACATCTACTACGAAACAATCTTGTAAAGGATTGCCAACACGGATTAATGCCGGGGCGCTCCTGCTTAACGCGATTACTCAAGGAACTGATATTTGGATCAGAATTCCGGAATAGGGTGGTAACATCGACAATATATACCTAGATTTTGCCAAGACTTTTGACGGCGTGGGTCGAAGACTTTCTCTATGACTGCAAGCAGCGTGTGGTGATTTATGGCACGACGGAATGTGAAAAGGACCTACAGTAGATCTGTACTTTGACAATGAACTGAAGTTCTCGGACCATTGCGAGAAGAAGGTAAATCAGGCAACTAAGTTATTAGGTCTTATAAGAAAGTCCTAGATGATCCGTCCCTCGTAACGATCTTTAAAAGTGAAGTGCTTTCCCGACTGGAATACTGTCGGACCCCGTCTGGTCCCCGAGATATGCCAGGGACTGTCAGTTGGTTGAAAATGTCCAAAGGAGAGCCACCAGACTGGTGCCTGCACTGCAGCACCTCAGCTACCCGGAGAGATTGGAACGCCTGAAATTGCCTAGCTTATACTACAGACGGGCAAGGGGGGACCTAGTTGAGGTGTATAAGCATCTCAGGGGGCACTACTCAGTCGAGTGTCCTTACCTGGAGCTGGCGGACGCTCGCCTCACAAGGGGTCACAGCTCAAGGTTGAGGAAGTTACAGGTCCAGAAAACTGTGAGGTGTAACTTTTTCGGAGTGAGAGTTGTGAACTCTTGGAACAAGCTGCCAGAGAGTGTTGTGACGGTGTGGGGTATGGGATGTTTGGGTTCACACTCAGGATGGGATGGAGAAAGGAAACTCACAATGTGCTCTCTGTATACATGTTGTATTGGATGTACAATGCAGCTTGGTGCTGGGAAGTGGCAGCGTGGTTACAAGCGTGATGTAGAGAAAGCTGGTTGGGGAGGGTGCTCAGAGGAGGACAGCTTGTGGGTCGCCATGCTCGCAGGCGGGAGTGAGGGCCGCCAGGCAGTGGCGGAGGAGGTGATGTTGCGTGCTGCGGCTGTAGCTAGAAGAAGAGAGAGGTCACCACGAGGTCAGGTCTTAAATTTCGGGGGCTTAGTAGTTGACCTCCGTGATGTATGGCGGCGCTGGTTGACTCAGACCACGAGGCATACACTGGGGAATTCGCGGGGTCGGCTACTCAGCGACAAACAGCGTTTGTAGGGGAGGAATCCACTACAATACTCCCCCCTTCCCTCCAGGCGGTGTAGGAGACTTGTTGTCTGCAGGGTTGCATGGCACATGTGAGGCAGAACGGGCGGTGCATGCCACATGTGAGCCATAATGGCGATGGCGTGGATGAGCCGGCCGCTAGAGGAGACAACTGTCTAGATACACAATATCTGTGGGAGTAGAGAGGGAGAAAAAGGGTGTGTGGAGGCGATGAATGTTGTGCTTCCCTCACGGCAGGTATAGAGTCGTCAGAATGGCCTGCTGGGGTGTGTGGGCCTGGGTCAGGAGCAGGGGCTGCATTAGCAGAAGCGGATGAGGGCTCGTGACAGCAGCTGGGTCCACGACAGCAGCAGGGTGCAGGACAGTAGCAGGGAGTACCTGAGGGAGAAAAGAGGGGTGTGTGGGTCCGCACTCAGACGCATGGGCCGCGTTGGGAGCAGGGGTTGCATCAGGAGGAGCGGCAGGGGGTACTGCTGGGCCGGGGGCGGCGTCTGAGGCAGGACGGGTGTGCTGGGGTCGGTAGGACGTGGTGCTTGGGGCAGGAAGAGGAGCTGGTGTCTGCTTAGAGAAGCAGTGCTGCTCTAGGGTGTCTAACCTACGGTTTAGAGACAGTAGCTGTAGAGCCGATGAGAGCTGCTTCTGGGTGGATATGCCAGTCTTCCATGTTGCTTGAAGACTGGGAGAGTGATCAGTTTCTCCTCCATCCTGTGTGAGTGCGAATCTCAGGGGGTCACCATTTGTGGGGTGTTTGGGTTCACACTCAGGATGGGATGGAGAAAGGAAACTCACAATGTGTTCTCTGTATACATGTTGTATTGGATGTACATTGCAGCTTGGTGCTGGGAAGTGGCAGCGTGGTTACAAGCGTGATGTAGAGAGAGCTGGTTGGTGAGGATGCTCAGAGGAGGACCAGCTTGTGGGTCGCCATGCTCGCCGGCGGGAACGAGGGCCGCCAGGCAGCGGCGGAGGAGGTGGTGTTGCTTGGTGCGGCTGTAGCTAGAAAAAAGAGAGGTCACCACGAGGTCAGGTCTTAAATAGCGGGGGTAGGCGTGGAACAAGCTTAGCAACTTTGTAGTAAGTGCGGGAACTCTGGAAAGTTTCAAAAGGAAGCTAGATAGATTCATGGATGATAGAGAGTGGTAGTAACTCTCGACAGGAGCTGCCATGCACAGGCCAACCGGCCTATTGCAGACTCCTTATTTTCTTATGTTCTTATGTTCTTAGTAGTTGACCTCCGTGATGTATGGCGGGGCTGGTTGACCCAGACCACGAGGCATACACTGGGGAATTCGCGGGGTCAGCTACTCAGCGACAAACAGCGTTTGTAGGGGAGAAATCCACTACAACGGCACTGAGTGTGAACTGTTTCAAGACCAGACTTGACCAACACTGGAGCAGGTTCAGATACATTCAGGAGTCAGTGCATGCCCAGTACTTGCCAACATTGACATGACCGACCGCCCAAGCGGCTAACGAGGCGATTAGTGGCGAAGAGGATAAAAGTAAAAGTAAGGAACAAGGAACTGAGGACTAGAAGCAGGGAATATCAAAAGGTGGGAGGCCCCAAGAATTTGTGGGTAAGGGACCAAGGTGAGCACCGAGTCCACTTAGCTGGGGGATTTGGGGGAGTGGGAGGGGGTGGGGGGTGCTCTGTAAGCCCCCCCGGAAACTTTTTCGAAATCTGTCCATTTTGAGGCCTTTTTGAAGGCAGGTGCACTTTATTTTAAGATATTTTGAGGTCAATAATAATTACTTTTTATTATTCAAATATATCTGAGTACAATACTGCATTTTCTGATGAAAAGGAATTTTCTGATGAAAAGGGGGGTCCGAAACCCCAGGACCCCCCCGGATCCGCCCCTGGGAAATGAGAACTTGGAGTAAGGAACTAATCAACCAGGGAGGTTGCTGATCTGACTTTTTCCCTCATTTACACACAATTGCAGGTCTCAATTGTTTCTCTTACTTTGACAACACAACATACATAGTATATTGTTTCTCACTATTGATTTTTTTTAATTTTGCATTTCTTCTTCTTCTTCTTCTTCTTCTTCTTCTTCTTCTTCGTCTTCTTCTTCTTCTTCTTATTATTATTATTATTATTATTATTATTATTATTATTATTATTATTATTATTATTATTATTATTACATTTTCGCCCCCCAGGCCCTAATGAGGGTCAGTGACCTGTGCCCGGGTGAGCTAATCCCAAAAAAAGAACTAGGAAACTTATAAGATGACTTTATTGACCCATACCCTCTACCTACCTCCCTCCCTCCCCCTCACCCACTCCCCACCTCCCTACCCACCTCCCTCCTCCCTACCTACCTACCTCCCCACCTACCTACCTCCACCTCCCTCCCCTACCCACCTCCCTACCTCCCTACCTACCTCCCTCCTCCCTACCTACCCCTACCTACCTCCCTACCTACCAACCTCCCTACCTACCTCCCTCCCTCCCTACCTACCTCCCTACCTCCCTACCTACCTACCTCCCTCCCTACCTCCCTACCCACCTACTAGGGAAGAAGGAACACCCACGTTCGCCAGTAGGAGTGTGAGCTGGGTGGGGTTCACTGTCAGTTCACTGGTCCAGCTGGGTGGTGACCTCAGACAACACCCCACAGTAATTGAACTATTATTACATGGTTAACGTCTCTCCTTGGTGGTAAATGTTAACAAGCCTTTACAGAGGAGATCTACCGCCAGGGCTTCATGTGAGGGAGGGGCTTCATCACCAGAGACGTGAGTAAGGAAGAGTTTTAACCAGCAACAGGCGGTCGTTGTTGTACTTATAATTATATTTTATCTTAATTTAATAAATATTTTATAAGTATTATGTCCTTCATGTAGGTTAGAGGAGGCTTCATCATCACCAGGGACCTGATTTATGGAGGAGGAGAAGGAGTAGAAGGAAGAGCAATAGGGGGAGTAGGAGGAGGAAGAGGAAGAAGCAGTCATTCTTAATTATTATTTATCTTAATTTAATCAATATTAATTTTTTTATTTGATATTGATCTTTTTTGTATTATCGTTTCGGTCCTACAGCGAGGATAGGTTTAAGTTAGGTTTTTTTATGGTTTTTGATGTGTTTTAAACGATTCTGACCTTTATTTCAAATAGGTTCTAGGCTGATGTGACCTCCTTGTTTGTAGACGATGCTTTTAAATGGGCTATGGAAGAGTATGAATGATCTTAGTGTATGGCTTATTGTAAGAGAGATTCCCGAGTAATTATAGCAGCCGAGAAGAGTAATTATTGTCAACTCAAATTGAGATCTGCAGCAATTCAAAATTAAGTACACCTGTGTCACTGGAGGCAGGGGGTATGGGAGGTCAGGTCAGGTTATTAGCCTCAAACAATCAGAACAAATGCCGGACAAATACCGGAAGTAAGTAAAGACCCATGATTGGACAAAGAACTACTGCCTGTTTTCATTATTCATTTCCCCTCAACTGGCACCAGGTACTGTACAGTCACTCATAAAACTACAGTATCTACAAAATTGTGTTGTGGAGACAATATGACTCGACGGATGATTGATTTTGACAACCCTACCGAGACAACAGGAGTCACAGTGTTCATTATGAAATTCATCGATCCCTCGAGTCCAGATAGTTTTTTGAGTGTGGTACAGTACATCCAAATGAGGAAGAAATAAACAAATTTGATGAAATAACAAAGCTTGTCGGGATGGTAGTCTAGCCATGTGCATGAGCTTAATTTTGAACATTGTCTACATGATTCACAGTTGTTCGCTAACTCACGACATCAACATAAACCATCACATTGCTGTACTGTATTTAAAGTCACCATACGAACCATTAAGTGAAGCAATACCATTTCAAACAGAAAAACTTACCTTAATTATTATTTATTTCACACTCCATGAGCCAATGATATTTTGGGCTGTTACCTGGTGTTTCCGCCCCAGAGGCAGCAACGACACCTGCCGGACCACCAGCTCTACAATTACCTGTACAATAAAGTACCCTGGATCACCTGAAGATTAAACCTCAACTTATTTCCAGATTTGTAAAGTAACTAAGTAAATTTACTTGAGTACTGTAATCAAGTAACATTTTTGGGTACAGTACAGGTATTTACTTTTTAAAAATTCCTCCAATTTCTCAGTAATTTTAATTTTACTTAAGTATGGTTTTCTGATACTTTTACTCCAATACAATTGAAAAAACAAAACTCGTTACATGACCCAAACAATAGAGGACAAACTTGGGAGCTAACCAATCACAAGTGTTTCTTCACGTCTGCTGCTTGTGAGCGCTGTTTAGTCATGCTGGGCTTTTATTTAGTCCTAAAAGATCCTGATTGGACAGTCATAATTTTAAGAATTTTTTATTGATTAATCTCAATAGAAAGATTTGCAAATAAACATGTGTAATGCTGTGACTTTTATTTTTATGTTTACTTAACTTGTTTTTTATAATTTACTCTGGAAAAATATTAATATTTGAGACAATAAATAATTTTGTTGTTACTTTATACTTTCAGTACTTGAGTACCATACTTAATGAATGAGATAATTTTTTGCTTCTACTCGAGTACATTGAACTTTCGATACTTTTGCTTCTACTCGAGTAACATTTTGCCAATGTAACAATGTAACTTAAGTAACAAAGTCCAGTACCTTTTACAACTCTGCTTATTTCACCTTTACCCTTTAGTGGGCAGGGGCTCCCCTCAACTGAATAAAATCCCCTGGCATTAGCCAGAATTAAATCCCTAAGGGATACTTTGCCTTCTATAAAGGGTTAAGATTAACTACCATTTTGCTAACCTTCCTTCCTGATCTTCAGGTGATCCAAGGCATTTTATCATCTTAAACAAAAGACACATAAGGAAACAGTGCAGATAATTTGACATAAAGTTGTGACATACTATACTGTACCACATTATATATAACTGTATTTTGATCTTCGTTCATCCAGCAAAAAAATATATGTAGGAACCTAACCTCACAGTTTTTGCAATTAAAGTATCGAATTCAAGTAGTACAGTATATATCAGTTTTATATATACAGTACATTTGTACATGGAATGCTTATTAAATATTCTAAAAAATTGTGAGTAAATCCTCGTAACAGTGAATAAATCACCAAAAAAAAAAAAAACACAAAAATGCTATAGTAACTCACTACTGTCCGCATCTTTGGCATCCTCGACTTAAAATTGACCATTCTCTCTCTGTGCTTGTTGAGCCAACGTGAATTTGTATCACAATTTTACTGAATAAATATACAGATCAATCTATCCACATCTTTAATAACTGTTGAGTTTGTTTATTATTACAGTATTATTATTATTATTATTTGTATTATTATTATTATTAGTAGTACAGTAGTATTTATTATTACTATTATTATTATTAGTAGTAGTACAGTAGTATTTATTATTACTATTATTATTATTATTATTATTATTATTATTATTATTATTATTATTATTATTATTATTATTATTAGTACAGTCAACCCTCGCTTTACGCGGTCCCACTATACGCGTTTCCACGTTTACGCGGTACCCTGCCGAACACGGAATGCTCACTTTCCGCGGTGTGTGTACCCTTTTACGCGGAGAGCGGCGCGAGCAGGGTGCGCACAAGGTTGCCCAGTCATCAAAACATTACCGAGTTTTTCACCCGCCACTCACCACAGCCGGCCCAAGTCAGTGATAGTGATAATGATAGTGAGGACATGATATGGACTTTGAGGGGTTTGACAATGAGGCCCTGCAAGCCTCTGTGGTGGATAGTTATACAATTGATACAAGTGATACAGGTGAGGGCCAATAATCTGCCCTCTGCCTTGGAACCAACCCCCCATCCCCGTGTGCCCAGCTATCTTTTCTACTAATGTAAGTGTTAAAACATCTAATATTATTGATATTTCTCTTAATTATTAATTGTGTGTGCATACCATCATAAAATTAAGAAGTTATTTTACTACAACGTAGGTATTGTGTCTGAAAAAGTGGAGTTTGGGGTTCGGCCCGGTCTCTATTTCAATTAATCCCATATGTTATATTGTTCACTTTACACGTTTCTCACTTTACGTGGGCCGCCGTGGGTTCAATTGACCGCGTAAAGTGAGGGTTCACTGTAGTAGTATTATTATTGTTTTTATTATTATTATTATTATTATTATTATTATTATTATTATTATTATTATTATTATTAGTATTAGTATTAGTATTATTAGTATTATTATTGTTTTTATTAATATTATTATTGTTTTTATTATTATTATTATTATTATTATTATTAGTATTAGTATTATTATTATTATTATTATTATTATTATTATTGCCTTTATTTGCAGGTGATGGGCTCCTGACAGTTATGATGGTGATTGAAATTCCCCAACAGAACAGAAAACCATAATATAACTCTCACATGAACCACATTACTCTTAACACTGTGTAGTAAGATATGGTTAATTGTTTTGGATTGTGATCAAATAATCTGTATAGTTGAAGAAGAATTAACATTTAAGTAGTGAACACAGTTACCTTACCTCACAAGATGCAGCTGTTAAGGATTCACTATCAGAAGCTGTTTGTGTGTGTGTCGTTTGTCATGTTGGTGCTGGTGGTGGTGCGTGTGTGGGAGGGTGACGACGGGACTGTAGCGACCCACCAGAACCTGCCCGGCTCCCTCAAGATCCCGGAAAAAAGGGTGAGCGGTGTGAGGGAGAACAGCATCAATATCGACTCCCCGGTGCTGTCCGCCTCCCAGCACAGCGGTCGTGGGGCGACGAAGAAGAAGAAGAAGGCAGCGGGGACCAATACTTATACTGATCTCTTCCAGGATATGGCCAAGGTAAAGATTGTGTGAGATCTGTTTTGTGTTTTGTGAGAAAAGTAAAGATAAATGAATGAATGATAATGAATAGAGAATCTGTGGAGGTTCTTCATACTTAATTCCAACAACCATTATTATTATTATTATTATTATTATTATTATTAATATTATTATTATTATTATTATTTATCATTAACATTACAAAATCTATTATTCCAAAAGACCATATAATATATATACAGGCAGTCCCCGACTTACGACGGAGTTAGGGAACCAAATCCTGGTCGGATGTTGAATTGGTCGTACAGGTAAGTCGAAAATGCAAAAAATAATACATAGAAAATCTAAAATGAAATACAGTACAGTAAAAGTAATCAATAATGAAAAATTAATACTGTAAAGTGTTACTGTGCACTTACCTTTAATTTAGTCAGCTGAATGCACACTGGGCCCCAATAATTTTTTAATTAAACATGGAGACTACATTAATTGGATGAAGCAGAGAAGGAGACGGCTGGGTGGGTCATCAATGTCGCTTTCTTCAGACAGGCTAACATACTTGCTTGTTGAAGGTATTGGCTCATCTTTAGGGAGTGAAGAGGCAGCAGTGGTGGGGCGTGAGGAGACAGCAGTGGGGTCGCCTTAAAATATGTGTCCAATTTAGACTGCACAGTTTGCCTTTTCTTTTCATTGTGAATATCCCTGTAGCAAGCAAGTGCATCTTGGATCATTCTGTCAACTTTTGCAAAATGCTCAACATTTTGATCAATTTCGTCAAACATTTGCATCCCCTTATTAATAGTAGCAAATGCCTCTGCCATTTGTTTCTTCTGAGCACCACCAGCACTCTCACTTTTACGCTTGCCAGTCATTTTAAAGGGAATTAGAACCGAAAATATTGAAAATATTGTCAGTACACAGCGCGATCACTACCGACAACAACGACGGCCAAACACCAACTGAGCGTACTATGGCATGGACGCTGTACACCACGAGGCGGCCCAGCCCACGCCACGCTCTCGTACGGGACGGAAACGTTCCGGTACTGGAAAATACGTAACTAATTTGAAAATTCTTTGGTATGACCGAGGCGGTTGTATGTCCGGGTGGTCGTATGTCGAGTAGGTCGTAAGTCGAAGAGTACCTGTATACTGTATGAAATCATTAACCCTGTGGAATTATTTTGTGGATATCTGAAAGAACATAAATTGTTGTTACCTTCAAGAGAAATTAGTTCCTGAAGCTGCATTAACCCCTTCAGTACGGAGACTCCACTTGTATTTTAATTGGCTCACCCCAGAGAAAGAGCCCAGTACTCGAGGAGTTAAGTGGGTGATGTAACTAACATAAATAATGTATAGACAAGATATACTGATGTTTCTGAGAAGTGTCTGGCCCAGAACTCTTTTAGGGATTGTTACTGATGTATTGTGTTACATTTAAGGTTTTTTATGAGGCAACAGCTGCAGGACCCTAGCAAATGAAACACTGTATGGCTCTGTAACACATAGGACTGTCTTAGGGCTATTTTTTTTTTTAAGCTGTTCAAAAGTTGTGCATTATATTATTTTTTGTGAGAGTGTAGGTTGATGCAATTATTTTTCCTTCATGCATCCAGGAAGAGATGTGCCCTCTGTGTTTTGGCCACGACCTGTGTGAGGACGTCTCCGCCGGCTTCTTGACCTTGGCATCGGACACTCCTAGTAAACAAGATGGAGCAGCCATGTATGAGGCCTACTTAGGAGACATGCATAAACTTTCAGTCAAGGTGAGAACCCTTCATGCCCCTGTGAAGCGGCAGCAGAAGTTTGATAATTTTAGAGGTGAAAATGTATAACTTTTTACAGCAAGAGTTTGGTGAAGGAACAACAGTTGATGATTGACCATGAGAGGAGAACATACACTCGCCTCTCTACTGTATTTTATGCTGTATTTATAGTGTTTCTGTACAAAAATTCAGCCCCAGTACCCACAAACTCACCCAAACAGGAAGATAACGCTTTAATATATTAGTTTTGCACATCTCAAGGTTTCTGAGGAACAGAACCTTGGCAGTGAACAAGGTCTATCTCTCCTGTACCCACCATAGCTAGTGTATAACACCAGCACTATTTAATTGTGCGGCAAAAGCTGAAACACTTGATATTAAGAAACAGGAAAAAATGGAGCTTCTAGTATATGATATTGAGAAAGATAGATGTATTAGATGAAAGAATTAGGAAGGTGAAATAAGGGATATGATCAAGGTGGTAACAGACGTAAAAATGGATAGAGTGTATAAAGAGTTGAAACAGATACAGTAATGTACCTACTAACCCCTCGTCCAGGGCTTGAGATCTTGAATTCATAGTTCAGGACCAATAGTAAGCTCCCCCACACTCACACATCACAGAATACCCTGTACTATTTTGTTATATGAAGATGTACACAAACAAATCAATGATTATAGAAAATGTATTTAAAATTTTTTGGAACATATCCAGTATTGTAGCCTCAAATGCCCGTATTATTTAACAACATCTTCCCTTGAAGAGGGTCGTCGTGTTTCAACCCGAGTTTTAAACTAAATGAGTCCTGAAGGACACCGCAGTACTGTACTTAACGGGGCGGTGTGGCGGTAAAATTAACTATACTGTAATTCCAATATTATAAATTAATTTTATTGGAATTAGTTAATTTTACCGCCACCCCACCCCATTAAGTACTGTACTGTGGTGTCCCTCAGGACTCATTTAGTTTAAAACTCAGGTTGAAACATGACAACCCTCTTCAAGGGAAGAAGTTGTTTAATAATACGGGCGTAAATCTTTTCAATGTACGTAATTTTCTTAGTTGATGTAGTACTGTTCTATAATTATAAGCCATTAATTTTTTTATGACTTTTCATAATGAGATAAATGTTTCAAATACTATATTCGACATGTTTTCATTTGATATTAAAGGCTACAGAACTTTAATAAAACTCACAGGTTCCTCTCGGTGACCGGTTCAGTCGGCTGGATGAAGCCGTTTGTATGAATGCCAGCCTGGGCACGGGGTGCAGCGTTGGGTCGGCAGCGTACAGATCGTTCTTGGCAAGACCCCAGCCATTGACGACTCAGGTTTTACACCACCTACTACGTGTTGTTGGGATCCCCCGCACCCAGTACCCGTAGGTGTCCTCCTGCTGGTGTCATCTTTATTATTACACTATAGAACCCTTGATCAACCTTACAGACACCATGTTCATTAATTTTACAGTGTTAGAAAAGTTCCTGTGTACCTGCAATAATTAACACTATAGTTTTACCTTGTTATACCTACACTGTTATATATACCCTGTATAACTTAATGTGGGTTTGTAATTATAGTGTGTGTGTGTGTGTGTGTGAGTCATTGATGAGTAAGAGGCAATAATGCCTTAACAGAGTACAGAAATATGTCCATTAAGACAGTGATGTTGACCTGTCAGATGAGAGGAAGATGTGGTATAATCACTTGGTGGGTTGTGAGTGAGTATGTCAGTCAGTAAGGGTGTGAGTGAGTATGTCAGTCAGTAAGGGTGTGAGTGAGTATGTCAGTCAGTAAGGGTGTGAGTGAGTATGTCAGTCAGTAAGGGTGTGAGTGAGTATGTCAGTCAGTAAGGGTGTGAGTGAGTATGTCAGTCAGTAAGGGTGTGAGTGAGTATGTCAGTCAGTAAGGGTGTGAGTGTGGATGCTCCTGACATTGTCAATACTATATATGTACAATAAATCAAATTAAAAACAATGATTTTAACTAAACTAAACATATACAGTACTGTATATAGACATTGAAACAAGATATCAGACAAGTATTATAAACAATACAGTATAGGGGGCCCCCAAATTCGCGGGGGTTAGGTTTTCAAAATGGCCGCGAATTGCCAAATCCGCGAATAACATTCGCGGACCAGGGAGGGGAGGGGGGGGGGTAATTTATACTTGTGTACAAAGAAATGTGTGTGTGTTTGTGTGTAGACACACACACACACACACACACACACATACACAAAACACATACAAATAAATAATAATTAGAAAATACTCTCACAGAAAATTAGATTTTTTTTTTTAATTTGAGTCTACCCTCAAGTCCGTCCTCTATTAATAACGTAGTAGAGCACAGACTTGAGGGTAGACTGTTACATTTTTAATAATTTGCTTCTGAATATTTGTGAGAGTATTCTCCAATTATTATTTATTTGTATGTTTTTTTTTTGTGCGTGTGTGTGTCTACACACAAACACACACACTTACATACAATACAGGTAAAAGAAATTACTGTCTCTAGAACGAATTTCTCCCTGTCCCAGCCAAGAAAATGCCGGCAACTTTAAAACTACCCACAGACATTCTTGGGTACATCCAGGGTGTCATCCGCGAATAATAGAGAACCGTGAAATAAAAATCCACGAACTTGGGGGGGCTCCCTATATGTCCAACTTTATTGGTCCCTGACTCTGATGTGGTGTAGTGTAGGACATAATCATTTAGGTGGTGATGAATGGCCACAGTCTAGTTATGATTTCTGTGTTGTGTGTTGTGAAGATATTTTATTTGTGTGCTATTTTCAGGTTGTTAATGTGTCCAAGTGAGAAGCTTCTTACTGTTATTGAACGATCCTTTGACGATAACGATGACCACAACCTGAGTCAAGGCGAGAGAATTACTTTGTTCACAACACTGGCCATCGCTCCAGACATTGTCGTCCTCAAGGTTTGTCCTGTTTATTGTGCAATAGAACTTGTGTCAGCATAACATAATACTTAATGTTATGACAATATTATACAGTAAGACCTCTCACATCTGGCACCTTCAGGACCTTGTAGTTGATGCCTTGCCACTAATTTTTTTCTAAAGAAAATTCATATTTTTGGAAACTACACCACTACACTGTATCCCTTTTATCTTGTTTCTCTTGGTAAATATTTCCAGTTGTTGACAAAGGCGAGCCTCAATGTCGGTTTCCCTCGACTAGTTGGTGTGTGTGGCCGGCTGGGAGTGTTAGAGGACGAGATGACTCCTCTGGCCTTCCTCCTGGGTGAGCCCTTCAACGTTCGTGCCTCGCTCGCCGCCCAGATCCTGACTATGGTCGATGACTTTATGGTAAGATGATTCCATTCTTATTTCCCTTCTGAAACATACTAACATAACAAACTTGATCCTGTTTCTCTTTTTTTATCAGCAAAAGACTTAAAATTGTACATAAACATCATCGTATCTCTTGTAGAGATGATGGTGTCTTAAGGAACAAGGATTACTTTGTCTTACTCACTCCAGATGTGTTTTATTAATACTGTACTTCCTTCATTCCTTCTCTCACTCCCTATACTGTACCTTCCTCTTTTACTCTCTCTTTCCTCCTCTCACGAGGTCATCCTAAAACTATATCTTGCGCTTGTGAGACCTCACTTGGATTATGCAGTTCAGTTCCGGTCACCGTATTACAGAATGGATATAGAATCCTTAGAAAGAATTCAGAGGAGAATGACAAGACTAATCCCGGGCATTAGGAACCTTGAGTACAGAGACAGGTTAAAGCATCTTAATTTGCACTCCCTCGAGAGACGTAGAGTGAGGGGCGATATGATAGAGGTGTATAAATGGAAGTCAGGGCTAAGCAAAGGTGATATAACAAAGGTACTCAAACAATCCAACCAGGAGTGAACTCGTAACAATGGTTTTAAATTAGACAAAGTTAGATTTAGGCGCGAGATAGGTAAACACTGGTTTGGAAATAGAGTAGTGGATGAGTGGAACAAGTTACCAAACATCATCATTAACTGGAATACGCTGGATAGCTTCAAACATAAGTTGGATGGATATATGAACGATAGGGGTTGGGTGTAAATGGGACTGCCCAGTATGACCCGCTGCAGTCTACTACATTCTTATGTTCTTTACTCTATACCTTCCTCCTTTACTCTCTCTCCTCCCTTCACCTCCTCATACTCTCGTGTGTACTATAAGTCTACATTATTAAACTTTACACCACAGGAAGATGACCCGGACTGGTACCTGTTCTATGGGTCGTGGTCGTTGGAGAAGCTAGCCGTCAACAAGGAGGGAGAGGTGGTGTTGACTGACCTGGCTAGCATGGCGGTTGTGGACAAGAGTTTGTTTAGAGGTAAGTTTACTTCACGCCAGATATTTGAGAGGGAAGTTATTTTCTGTACTAGGGTGCAAGGAACAGCCGAATGCATTTATGGTTGGTGTTTATAAGAAAAATAGAGAATCACATGAAGATTAGCCACCCCACCCCAGCTTATTTCACCTGATGATTAAACACCCTAATGCTACCTGGGGGGTTAGGTTAGATTAGGTCAGGTTAGGTTAGTATTAGGGTAGGCTATTCCCGAGGTGAAATAAGCTGAGGTGGGGTGGCCTTGTAGTGCCATCACAGAGCACAGCAAGTTTCATTGTAGTGTGTGTGTGTGTAATAATAATAATAATAATAATAATAATAATAATAATAATAATTAACGGTTTATTGAAAAAGTTCTGCAGCCCGAAGGCTGAAAATATACATTGGACATAAATGACTTATTTCATACATTGGTGGTTTAACAAAAGCCTTCATTAGAGAAAGGTAAAGGAACATACAGTGAACATACAGATTAATGTAGGTGTTGAACAGCAAACACGTAGTGTAGTAACTCCCTCCCAGATGGTGTTAGGAGGGACCTCACGTGATGTAGTAGTTCCCTCAGATGGTGTTATGAGGGACCTGACGTGGTGTAGTAATTCCCTCGCAGATGGTGTTATGAGGGACCACATGGTGTAGTAATTCCCTCACAGACGGTGTTATGGGGGACCTCATGTGGTTTAATTACCTCACAGATGGTGTTATGAGGGTCCTCACGTGGTGTAGTAATTCCCTCACAGATGGTGTTATGAGGGGCCTGACGTGGTGTAGTAATTCCCTCACAGATGGTGTTATGAGGGACCTGACGTGGTGTAGTAATTCCCTCACAGATGGTGTTATGAGGGGGCCTTACGTGGTGTAGTAATTCCTTCACAGATGGTGTTATATGAGTGAGGTTTGGTCCCAGGCCTTCCTATTGTAGACGGATTAACACATCGCTGGATGTTGTTGGGTCTCACGGGCCGTTATCACTGGGTACCTGGGACCTCACTGTGTGAAGGTTAACTTGGGTACGACTGTTACTGTTGAGTTGTTCTCACTGACTTAAGCACTGTTCACCTCTGTTTAACACTGGTTCCATTCCTTTCCTAAATGAAGTTGTAACTTCTGCCGAGAACTTGTTGATATTCCGGTGGGGAGGAGGGTTCAGGGGAGGGGGTTGGTATGAGCCAACTTAACAGTTGACCTGGCTGCTCCGAGAGGAGCGCCAGGTACGTCTTGACCCTTCGATGGTCAAGGATGTAGTGTGTGTGTGTGTGTGTGTGTGTGTCACAGCAGAACACAAATATTACAACATTAAGCATAAAATTAACAAAATGTTTGTGTGCATGTCTGCTCTTGGCTCCAGCTGCCCTGATGAGAGTGGGAAAAAGTTTATAAGATTACCGTACCGTAATTAAAAATATAAACACAAATAACAGGTTTTGGTACAATACACTTGTGCTGACCTGATATTATCTTATCAAATGTTGTTCATCAGGTGACTACGAAGACGGCAGTGAGAACCGGGTACAGGAGGTGTGCAACAAAGAGTGTTTCCAGAAGTTCACCGGGGAAGTTTACAGAGAAGGCCACGACACGGAGGAGATATGTTCCCGCGTGGAAGACGTCGGCCACCTGATGTATGCAGCCGTGTGTGCTATGATCCTTAGTGACATGGAACAGCACAAGTATGTCGACTACTTCACCAGCAGCGCGGGTCAGCAACAACATCCTCGCACCACGAAGGGTGAGTTAACTCTACGGTGGTCGTCAGGCAGCTTAATGATTACAGTATACGGTACAGTGATATCCCCGTTAGCCGGAACAATTGGTACAGATCACTTCCGGGAATGAGAGATTTCCGGGTGACGAGACGACTCTCTCAAAGCTGGAAAAATTTCCCTCATCCCTGGAAATTTCCGGGTAACAGAAATGTTTTTTTGGAATTTCAGAAAATGTGGCTCTCGGAAAATCTTTCTCAAAGCCGGAATCTTCCTGAAAATTCCGGCTTTGGGAATGATTTTCAGAGAAAATTTCACTTCCGGCTGTCGGAGAGTTCCGGGTTTGAGGGATTCCGGCTAACGGTGATATTACTGTACTACAGTATTTTCTCGATTTAACGAACTAATTCGAGCCACTTTTTCCTGTTAAATCAAAATTTCTGTTAAATAGAACTTTTCCGTTATTTAAGCTCGATTTAGCAAACTAATTCGCTAAATCGAGTGATTCCGTTAAATTCCACTTCAAATACGCTGCTTGGTGTGTGGGGTTTGTTTGCATCCACTCAGTCTGTGTCCCGCCACCACCGTGTGGGTTGTTCACTGCTACCTCTTGGCCAACTAACTACTGTGCTTAGACATTATGCTGAAAGTCTCTCAGAAGTCTAAGAGAGGAAGTGGTATTAACAGAATTAATGTTGATTTAGCGGACTGGTTCAGTAAAGGCAGTTATTGTAAGGCATTTTAGATGCACAGAATAGCTAATGCGTTAGCTATTCTGTATGCGCAGACGCTGCTTTTGAGCTGTGCGCATGACTCGTTCAGAGGGAAAAGCTAACGCCTCAATCGGGCGTTAGCTTTGTGCAGGGCCCAAGCGGCACAAATAGCTAACAACCAATTGGCGATTTCTTCCGGTGAAAATAAGTGGATCGTGTCCGCTTATGGAGAATATTTTGATTAATATTGAAGAGTTGGAGGCATGTAAGGCAATAAAAAACTGATGTAATAAAAATAATTCTATACACGATAGTACAGTGGTCCCTCGGTTAACGAGCACAATTCGTTCCAGCAGGTTGCTCGTTAACCGAAAAACTCGTTAACCGAAAAACTCGTTAACCGAAACCATTGTTTCAATGGGTTTTTGGGTAATTGGTTCCAGCTCACCGAAAATTTCCTAAATTCAACAAAAAAGGTAGAAAAGTTCACTTACTTTGAGGTGTGTATGTAGAAGGCTCCTGGATGATGTTGATGTTGATGGGAATTAGAATGGGGGTGGAGGAGAAGGGAGAAGAGAAGGCATTGGGGTGGAAGAGAAGTCACCCCATGGCACCATTTCACCCATAAAATTTTAGTTCTCTTGGTGTAATTCAAGATTATTTTCTTTAAATCAACACTGCACTGCATTATATATTGTCAATATGTAAAATAAATTTCAAAGTGACCAATAATTTGCTTGGAAACACAGAAAAGAAGCTTTTAGTTGAAGAGAGTCTCAACAGAGAGAGACTAACGCCTGTCTGGTGTGTTAACAGGCTGGATGGCACGCCAGAAACTAGTTTCTTTACCTTCAATTATGTTCAATAATTGTTAAAATGACTAAAAAAGTTAATATTAAACTTTTAAAATTATTGAATAGTATAAACTTCTTGATATTTACTAAAATAGTAAGGAATTTAAGCCCCAAAACCGATTACTGTATTGGCGGACCGCCAAATGCAAGCGAAAACATGTTGAAGTCGGCTCGTAAAAAACTCGTTAATCGAGGGATTGCTCATTAACCGAAGTTAAGAATCTTATGGAAGGTAAATCGTTAACCGAAATCTCGTTAACCGAGGGATCACTGTATATTGGATAGGACCTAAAACACGGAGCAAAGCGTGAAAGAATTGAAAAGGATTACGCCCAGTTGAAACCCGTTTAGACTCCACCCTTTTAAGTGGGCACAGTCCAATATCATTAGTTGTTGGTGACTTTTGGTGTAACAATAATGATAATTACTCAAATAGGATTAAAACTTTAATATCATTACTCATAAGATGCTTTAAATAAGGGTGAACAAGTTGATTACAGTTCTGGAAGTGCAAAAATTAATTTCTGGCACAATTATGCAAACACCTAGCCGCAAGAGAAGATGAAGTCCGGAAGAAATCACCTTTACAGCGGGCTCGATTTTTTGTTTTATTCTTATTTATTGGTGACTGATTGACTTTTTTTCCTTTTTTGTCTTTCTTTCCATAATTTTCTATATATTTTCTTCACTATTTCTTTCTGTATTGTGTCCAAATAACAGTTCTCCTAATTTGATTGTTTTCTGAAGACTTGTACAACAGTTATTCCCAAAACGCGGTACAATGTCCTATTTTTTAATGATGTCCGAGAAAGCTAACACATTAGATATTCCGTGCATCTTAAAACGCCTTACAATAAACGCCTTAAATTGAGTGAAAAATTACGGAAAAATTCCTTCGGCTAAATCGAGAGTTCTTTAAATCGGCTTATGTTAAATATACTACAGAATTTTGTCAGGGATTTTTCTGCACTTTTTTGTCTGTCGTCACACTCGAAACTTTTTTGTCGACTGTGACACATGAAAACACATGTGTCACTGCCTCCACCCTTAGGTGTCGCCTCACAGTCTTCCTCCCACAGGTCTGCTACACAACATCCCGGCAGCTGACAGGGCCACGGTAGAGGAGCTGTTGGCTGAGTGTGTGGACGAGGCAGCACCGGGGGGCCGCCTCCAGTCTGCTCAAGAACTCCGTGATTTTCTCTCGGACTTCTTACTGGACGAAGACGAGGAGGACGGAGATGATGCAGCGGGTAACAAGGACGACGATGACGGGGAAGATTATGACGACGATGACTATGATTATGGAGAAGATGACGGCTAAGAAAATAATAAAAGTAACTCAACATGCAGGTAAAAAAAATGTCAATACAGGTATTTTAAATTAATGTCAGGAGTTTCGAAAGTCTGAGAGGTATGTAACAATCATTTCATACCACGTTACAATTATCTGAGTAATTATGGAATTACCCTGTGTGTTGAGGTGGTGTGTTTGTCACCTTCAAGTGTTAAATTTCCTTTTCAACTGTTGTGGATGAGCTGTGATATACAGTAAGTTGCAACAACACAGTACTAATTTGTGTCTTTTTTATAACCATACTGTGTAAAATATGTTATGTGATGCCATGGTAGTTAACGTGGATGGCTGCTATGCCTTCTGTAGGAGACGGCATTAAGGGTCGTGTCGGGTGTGACGTTGACAAGATGGATGTTTTTGGACCCTGTGTATGTGTTAGGTTAGGTACAGTTCCCTTCACTAGTGCGTTTACAGGGGCTCATCAGGTCTTGTGCAGTGTGGCAGCTCTGTGTTTGTTTACATTAGACAGAAGGAAACTCACAGTAGTAAACATATGAACGTAAAACAATATTACAACAAATATCTTGATGTAATGATTTGTGGAATGTGTATATAATGAGCCCCTGTAAACCCACTAGTGAAGAGGACTGTATGTGTAAAGGGTATTAACAGTGTGTCTTTGTGTATGTGGGTGTATAAAGAAGACATTTACAGTTTATATGTTTTAATGGGACTAAATAATTCACATTCATGCTGGACAAGATGTATTTGCCTGTATCCTCCAGTGCAGTGTTTTTCAAACTTTTTTTACTGCGACCCACAGCCAGAACAACAATTTGAATTGCGACCCATTAAACCGAAGTGTAATGATATGAAATGAGTAAATCAAAGACAAACACTGTTCACAATTTTCCTTTATTTAGCATTGACAAAATTCATGTAAATTTCTCATGATCCATTTCTACTTGAATTATGGTGCATTTATTTTTATTTTCTTATTTATTTTCGCGACCCATTTTATTTATTTTTTCTTATTTATTTTCGCGACCCATTTTATTTATTTTTTCTTATTTATTTTCGCGACCCATTTTTATTTTGCGACCCAATTTATTTATTTCGCGACCCACTGAAGGGTCGGGACCCATAGTTTGAAAACCCCTGCTCCAGCGTACTTGAATTTGTGTTTTAAGTTGGAATGTATGACACACACACACGGTCTTAAACACAGTATCACAACAACTATGAACCCCGGATGTGACCAATTAACTAGTTATCAGATGTTAGTTTTGTAATCTTATAATAGTGTGGATAATCGCAGTCCTATGAAGCAGAATCTTCATATTTCCATTTTTCAAAATATAAATAAGATTCATGATTAATTTTTTTTTTAATTTGACGAATGAAGCAGAGTATTGAACCATACTATTTTGAATTGGCATTTCTTGGCTTATGAGGATTGTGTTTCATCTGGCAGGGCTTTTGCTATGGTATCCGATCATTGTGCTGTGACAGATGGCTGCTGCTTCTTGTCATAATGCCACCATGGAGGATGAATCACTCACGTCATCCATCCTCAGTTATGACACGATATGAGTCAATTAGGAAGTACTGTACAGCAGACGAGTTGCTTAATGGCCTTATAAAGTCTGGATTCACGGTTACCCCAAACTCATTAATACTGTACGCTGGTTTTGACTTACCGAGTACTGTATACAGTTAGTTTAGCTAATGGTTTTAACTGAGTACCTGTACAGTCTAGGTAATGGTTTTGACCAAGAGAGAGAGAGAGCACAGTTAGTTTAGGTAACGCACAGAAATATAAGAAAATCACAATAAGGTGCACAAAAAACAGAAAATATATAAGCAGCGTAACTTATAACAGTGCCGACTGTCGCGCATTCTCTCACACAGTACAGTATAGGCCGCCAATATGTGTAAGTTTTTATTTTGATATAGTTTATGTATGTGAAAGTAAAATGAATAATATGTTGTACAAATTTCTGGATCTGACACTGATCAGAGATAATGATGATGGTCACAGTAGAATGTTTTGCACAAGTTAGGGGTAATATAGAGAGTTAAGTCAGTGATGGTCTAGTAATTGCTTTATATCATCTTCATTCCTAACCTAACATAACCTAACCTAACCCAACCTAACCTAACCCAACCTAACCTAACCCAACCTAACCAAATCTAACCTAAGCCAACCTAACCTAATTTAGTCAAGCTTAGACTAATCTTACCTCACCTATCTACCTGTATAACCTGACTTAACCTCACCTTACTGAATAGAATATATAACCCAATCTTACCTTACCTGACCTGACCTGACTTTATCTAACCAAACCTTACTCTACCTTACCTTACCTGACTTAACCTTACCTAACCTTACCTAACCAAACTTTACTCTGCCTTACCTGGTTCCACCCACAACACACTCAGCTTCAGTTAGCACATCTCACATATGCACAGACCCACTTGGATATAATTGTCGCTGAAACACTTAACACGTGTGGAGGAAAGTGTGTGTTTGTTTGTTTACACTCTTATATAAGTACCACAATTTTCATTTTATTAATTATTCGTACAAAACTGTCAAATAAACAATGATGATTTATGTTATATGAGTAAGGCAAAGGAAGAGAAAGATCCAATATAGGATTCCCAAACATTGTCATTTGTGTCTGAAGTATAATGTGTGGTGAGGAAATGAGCTGATGACCTCACAGTCCGTTATCTCAGTAAAGGGCATCAGTCAGTGGTGTAGGTTAACATGTTTTGATTGATAGAACTACTGTTTATTAGGAAAAGTATTGTACAGCACTAAAGTGAAGTCGTAGGTAACCGTGTATGTATCTTAAATATTGGTTAAATTAGATCATCATCACTGAAAAAAAAATGGTGAATATCATCAACTTAATGGTCCAGGGACGGGCCTTGGGATCTGCTTTTAAAGAAATATAAGACAATCACGCCATTATGTAGGAAGTTTGCTGATGGGCACATAAAATGTTGACTCATATACAACCTGTACTAAGCTTTACTCATACAGTATACTGTACTGTCTCTAGGCTTAAGGCATCAATGTATTTGAATAGGGGGAAGTTTTCTATCAGATGTAATGTAAGTGATTTGTAGATTTGAAGAAATATGAGAGTATTTTATAGATAATGTGTAGAAGTGTAGTAATTGGTGTTTCTTTCTAGCATTAATGGCTTTAGGAGGTTAGGTTTGAGATGGTAGCTAGATGTTAGGTCAAGGTGACAGCTGAGAGTAAATATAAAGCAGCCTTATTGGAGGGAACTTTCTTAATGATGAAGCAGATAGAGGAGATGCACGAATAGGTTACTGTAATTAATGAAGGGGAAGTAAAGGTGATACGACTCCATAGACTTGATATACATGGCCAGCGCCTTGAGGAAACTGTCGTACACCTCACACACTGCTGGAGGAGCAGTTCAGTGTCTGTATCTTCTGTCAAAACATTTATTACTATTAATTGATTGTTGGTCATAATTTTTCATCTTAATTTGTTTTTAAATGTTTTAGGTGTGTAGGATTTTGATGTGTATTATACGTGTTATTTGCTGGTCTTAAGCTTTAAACAGCACCCATCATTAGTGGAAGTTAGCTGTAGGGACGACAGCCATCATCAGAGAAAGTTTCATGTTCCTTGCATTCCATTTTTATGCACGGGGAGGGGGGGGGTCCTCGGCTGCCGGTTAATGGTTAAGACTTCCAGTGTTAACTAACTATTCTCATACTGTATTAGGTGTTGGTGCATCATCTGTGTGGTCCAGTAACCTTTGTTCTCTTTTCTTATAATTATTGTATGTTTAATATTTTAACTGTAAACGAATGTTTCCATCTTGGGAGACACAGTACAGTACTGTATACAGTACTCGTAATAAGATCTGCCTTCTCTGTGTTATCTGTTGTGTGAATTATGATTGTCATTTTCACAACTTTGATCTGATTAATACATGTATGTTGTATCTACTCAAGGTTCAAGTTGGACATAATAATTTTTTATTGGTTTACCTTGATGTACTGTACTGTGCATGGGCTAATAGAGGTAATGCTTCCTGTGGCTAAACAAGGTACAGTTCTTGAGCTTCTGTAAGATTTCTGTCCCATCTTGGCAACACAAGTATACGACAAAGACGCTCTAGTTTTACTTATCTCTTGAAATACCAAAATTTTATTTCAATGTATTGTAATTTGTTTATCCAAAAATGTTTATTGAAAAAGTTTGTTAAAATCAGCATTGTAGAACCTTCCCATCAGCTCACCGTCAAGAGATAATTTCTGAAATAAGCTTTTTGAACTTATTTCAGAATACTGAATGAGACTTTATCAACCACTTTTAGCATAGAGGAGATGTAGTAATATATATTTTGTCTTAATCGGCGCTTCTACAGTGGGGTATGCTATAACGAACGGATCCTACTGTACTACGAATATTCCTATAACGAACGGTTTTACCTATAAAATTGAGAATGCTATAACGAACGAAACTCCTACAACGAACATTATTTAAAATTTTTTTTTTTTTATACTAATTTATTGTTTTTTTATTACAAGTATTAATGATATTCTTTATTTCAGGGGTTTAGATGCATATGTATGCACTTTTTTACAATTTTTACAATTTTATATTATATTTTTCAGTGTTAAGTGGTTGTATTTGGGGGCCTGGAACGGATTAATCCTATAACGAACAAATGCTATAACGAACAAGGTTCTAGAACCAATTAGATTCGTTATAGCATACCCCACTGTATTGCTTTTCAAGTTTGTTTTCAATTTGAAGTATTGAAGGTCATTTTACCAATCAAGTAAAGTCCCCTTCACTAGTGCATTTACAGGGGCTCGTCAGGTTTTGTGTAGTGTGGCAGCTCTATGTTTGTTTACATTAGACGGAAGGAAACTCGCAATAGTAAACATATTATGGATTCAAAGTAAAACAATTTTAAAATAAGTGTCTTAATGTAAAGATTGGAATGTTTATATAATGAGCCCCTGTAAATGTACCAGTGAAGGTGGACTGTACCTCTTCAATTCTGTCGGTCATCATTGAAATGTCGAGTTGAAGTCTTGTGGTAGTGAGAAACTCCTGAATGGAATATTAGTCATTCAAGGAAACTTTGTGATAAGTTAGCTATACATATATCAAACCTATGTTTGTATGTTTTAGCCCAAGTACTGTATCATATTCTTCCTGGTTATGTATTTATCTAGTCCTTCATCTTGTGTCTCATGTGAACCTTTGGTAGATACACAGGAGGTGTTACATGACTGGTTAATTGTAGTGAGAGGATTTTTTTAGTACACAATATGGCAACAAAAAAATACAAGCTCTTAATATTGATAATTATTAATCATACCTCAGCTGTGGGTAGATTTTTATGATTATGCCTCGTCAAGAAATCCCTTGCAATAATATTTTAGTCTCGTCGGAGTGTACATTATAACTTAAGTGTTGTGTAGTTGTTTTATTTATGAAGATATTAGTGTAAGAAATTAATTCCTTTTGTAATGAAATTATTGTGAATCTCTCTCCTCCAGTTTTTTTTCCGAGACTCAACAGAAAATTCTAGCGTTTTATGGTAAATCAGAAAATAAAAACAAAAGTCTCATAGTTGGTTTGGATAACAAGAGTTAATATTGCAGAGTCCTTCTTCTGTGTCTTTGTCTTCATATATGATGCAGGAGGAGGAAGGGGATTTAGGGCAATCCAGCTCTTGTTATATGATTATGTAATTGATCCACTCTGTGCTTGAATAACTTTACTTAGTAACACACTTACTCAAGTGCCATAACATTTTCTGGGTGAGTTAACTTTATATAGAGGAATTACTCTATACTTGAAGCTAATAATACTAATCTGAAGCAGGAGTAAGGCAAGTCTGCTGGTTATTATTATTGACTGTGTTGTGTCCAGAGCTCTGTAGCTACACAACTCCTAAGAGGAATTTGGCTTGACCCTTAAACATGAGCCATCATCAGTGGAAGTTAACTGTAGGGATGGCAGTCATCGTCAGTGGATATTTAATATTCCTTGTGTTCCATTTATGCATATATAGCTTCTCCAGCATTGGACGTGTTGTTGATGTTATAGTTTATCATCAGGTTAGTCTGAACAAACACAGGTGAGGTATAACTGTGACCAGTCTTCTTCTTGTTACTTGTGGCTTCAAATGACTTTCTGACTGGCAGTTTCTTAAAGGTGGGCAACAGGCACAGTGTAGTCCTGCTTAATGACTTATATTCTTATGATTTTGTCAAATTTTTCATTGGGTGGACTCTTGTTTTGTGGGAAGCTATTGTCTTACTGATGGACAAATGTATGAAGAGAGCAGAAGTTGTCTGTAATTTTAGTAAAACAAAATTACTTCACTATTTCACGGCTCTGAAGTCTACAAATTTGTCATTACTCTCTTGTCATGACTGTAATACTTTCATGTTTATTACGAGTCTGATGGTGATTTACTTCCATCTGAATTATCGTGTTTAGTTTAACCCAAAAGTCAGTAACTGTAAGAATATGCAAGGTAGCAGCAGGGTATAGTATAGTGTATGTTACAGTTGGTTGTATGGAAATATAAGTTTGAAATATTATGAAAATCTCAAAAAGGAATGTATATATATTGTGTGTTGCACAATATTATTTACTAATGACAAATTGTCCGTATTTTTTGACCAGTACTTACATACAGTAAGAATAATTTCTCCTCCTGGAATTAAAAATCAAACAAACAAACAAACAAACAAACCAAACAAAACACAGGATTGGATTTGTTGCTGTATGGTACATTATGTTGTGTATGATAATTATAGATGCTGTGAATTATTCCCTATAATCTCAACTTAATGTGTCTCTTTGAGTACCCAGGACAAATGCAATGCTTGATGGTAGACACACTGTACTGAACGTGGCAATACTGCTTAGCTCTCGGTGTGGATAATATCATTGGTGAGGTGATGCTTGGCAGTGGGTATGCTAAATAGGAATGTTTGATAGGTCACTCACTGGATATATGCAGGAGGTCACTCACTGGATACATGCAATAGGGCACTCACTGGATATATGCAATAGGGCACTCACTGGATATATGCAGTAGGTCACTCACTGGATACATGCAATAGGGCACTCACTGGATACATGCAATAGGTTACTCACTGGATATATGAAATAGGTCACTCACTGGATATGTTTGATAAGTCACTCCCTGGATTTGTTTAATAGGTCACTCACTGGATATGTTTGATAGGTCCCTCACTGGATATGTTTGATAGGTCACTCACTGGATATGTTTGATAGGTCACTCACTGGATATGTTTGATAGGTCACTCACTGGATTTGTTTGATAGGTCACTCACTGGATCACTGGATATGTTTGATAGGTCACTCACTTAATTTTTTTATATATTAAGTTGTAGAGTGACATTTTTTGAGATTTACAATGATATACAGTAAGTGATTTTAGGAGGTAGTGGGGGGGGGGGGCAGGTTTGATATTGTGAAGGAGTGCGAGGTGGACCTGCTCTTGTCACCTCAGACTATGGTGGGTATTATAGCAGTGAGGGAACAGTTTCTTGTGTTTACGTAAACACAAAGGGTGAAATGACTCCTGAAAAGCCCCAAAAAAAAAGTATATATATATATATACAGTATATATTTTTTTTTAATTTTATATTTCAAAATTCTAATAAACTCAAGGACGATTACTTTAACCCCTTGTGTACGAGGTCCTCCCTGAGCTAAATAAAAATTGTCTGGCATTAGCCATATAAGTGGTTAATAATTTTAGGTATAATGTTAAGATAAGAAAAATTAAATATATTTTGTTTTGAACTTCTGTTTTAACTTACTGTATTAACAACTCACTGACACGCGCATCAATAAGTACCAGTACATGGCGACCTGTGGTGTAATGGTCAGCATGCTTACCTCACAACTGAGTGAACCCGGGTTCAATCCCCGGGCAGGGTGAGACTATGGACACCTAGAAGTTAATTGATTTGCGGATCGTGTTCCGGGGTAATGGTTAGCCAGTGCAGTTGGCGAGTTGTCCGGTCTTCTTGGACTCTTCCTTGACACTGGTTTATGCAGCTCATTAACTTCTACACCTTAGACAAATTCATGTCTTGGTGACCATCCTTGGACGTAAGGGGCAGCCATTATTATATTACAGTATACTGTATTAGAGACGTTAGTGATTCATTAACATGTACAGTACTGCTGCTTCAGGAGGGAAGGGCATTAATAGATTACATTTTTGTTGTTATTTGCCTAATTATAAGATGCACATGCTGTGACATACATAATATATAAGGAAGCTATTAAATTGGTATTAATATATAAAGAAATTATATTAAATTATTAATATATAAATATGTAAGTAAAATAATGGCAAATGAACCAATGCCAACAAAAGCAGTTTACCATATACTGTACTGTACTGTACAATAATCATCAAGTATTGCTTCACACTGTAATAAAGTACTTTGTAATAAAGTACACATTTACTGTAGTGTATATCATATTTTGTTATAGTTCTTACCAGCATTAATTCCTAACTTTTTGTAATACATGTATTACACTAACACATACAGTAGTACACATTTGCATCAGTGTACATTAGGTTCTTGCAATATTTTTCACCACTACAGTACAGTGCAAGCATATAACATAATAGGTAATTATCATTCATAAGTTATCATCAGCGCAGGAACAACTAGTGTCATAACAAGGTACTACTGTAGTTTCATTGTATCGTAAGTCGCCCATAAGATACTCCAACTCCATTACATCTTAACCTGCTGGGAATTATATACAATATCTGTATCATCTGGTGTGTATATGTGTGTGTATTAAAATAAAGTTTTCATTATTTCTTAATTTTTTCATAATACTTTTTTCTATATCCGTTTCATTTTGGTCTTATCTTACTTGAATGCTTTTACCAAGTCCATCACCTCCCCAGAGACCCAACAAGTACAGTATATATACAGTATAGGGTTAGGACGATAAGTGGGTCTGGTAATGGTGTAAAAACCTCACTTCCAAACACACTATACCCACACACTCACTCAAACAAGACCTCCCCTACCCCCCCTCTCTTTCCTTCTTACAACGCCTCGCCACCTCTTAACTTTACATTTTTACCAGAACGATCACCTTACTCGATACTTGTCGGGTCTTTGCGAACGTATCTGGCTGACTGTACACTGGGAAATAACTTGTCTTCATCAGATATAATCATACGAGGCCACAATAATAACAACAATAACAACAGTGTTTATTTCATGCCATATCAGGTGATTTTTTTTTAAATGATCCAATGCCCTATTAGACCCCAGTTCTAATAGACCCCAAGCTAACCTAATCTCTAATCAAGTTAATTATTAAATGGTCCCCAGTCCTAACAGATCCCAATCTAACCTAATCTCATCAATAGTTACCATCCGTAATGGATAACTAATTCCACTGAATACTGAACTTAATAGTGACTGTAACTAAACAGTAGTATAATGAGTAACTAAATACATAAATAATCATATATCAAACAGGAAAGGAAGGGAAAACTCAACACAAGAGAAAGTAATAAGCTGCATCGAAGTATTAACAATCGTGTACGTATTGGTAATCAGTCCTTCATTAATGGTACGTTATTTTCTTGGTATGGGTAATAGTAGGTGAAGGCTCTTACAGTGAGTTATGGCATTAAGTTAGGTTTTATGTAAGGTACGGGTAGCTTGTTTCGTTTAACCTCACAGAAAACCGTGTGAGGTTGGTGGAAAGGTGGGGGGTTTATGTGAGGTACAGGCAGCTTGTTTATTTTCACCTCAGAAAACAGTCAAGGCTGGTGTAAGGGGAAGGGCTCGGGGTATGTGTTTATTTCTTCATAAATTAAACAATTCTTCATACACATAACAGTAGTTTCTATCATAATAAACAAGTTTATCTTTCACTTTAATGGGTTTCAAATGTTACAAATGTCTTCCATATATATTTTTAATTTCTGTGTTTAGTATTATTTAATTGGTATTGTTCTATTTAATCTGTTTTTTAATTAATTATATTGTAATCCCAAGTTAGTAAAACATGAATCTCATATGAATAAATCCTCAATCAAATTATAATGCTCTTTTAAAACAAAAGTTGAATTTTTGTACCCTCAACAGTGTGGGTTACAGACTGCTTCATGTAGATTCCATTAGGGTTATTCTTATAAGTTTGATCAGTGCTTGTGTGGTCCACTGGCCCAGATGACTGTTTCTGTAAGCAGATTGTAGAACTGTGTCTGTTGTGGTTATTGTCAAAACTGCTCTTATGGATAATACTGTATCATTACTGTATGTTATTGTACTCTGAAATAATGTACAGTACAGTCACCCACAGAAAGTCGTGTCGCATTCTCCTCCTGTACCATGAACCCTGAGATTCAGACTCGTGAACCTGAAGCATTTATTGTGGACAGAATAATGCATCGGTGTGTGCTGCTTCGGGGTTCATAGTACAGGAGGAGAGGTTACGGGACCTCTTGTGGGTGACTGTGTATACGGCCTGTGTTGATGCCATCTTTATTATCACAGAATATTATTGTCTATGGTACAATTATATTCATATTTAACTATGTTTTTGTGGTTTTCATTAATCGTCTTCGAATGTAGTTTTACATTTATGCATTTGTACTACTTGAAATGTATAAAAATGAAATACTGTATATAAGTACATACAGTATATTACACTTGTCAACACACACACACATTCCCTTTACTCTCACAGGTATACACACACAAACATTCCTCTATGCACAGAACTTATATTACATCCCATAATCTCATTCTTCAGTAATACATATAGAGACAAGTGCGACAACTAGTGACTGCACTTTGCCACATCCCATTGTTGTGAATCATCTGACAGACGTTCACTCATCTATGCCACCTTTCATTGCTTCATTGACCCACGTTGCTGTAGATTTATAAAGTCTGTATTTTCTTTTTCTAGGAGCAGTATAAAAAATTCAAAATGACAAATTATATTTAAAATGTATATTTTAATTAGTTTTTTGTATTTTTAAATTCTTTTCCATAAAAATTTGTAAAAATTTTTGGACTGGTGTTTTAATAACCCTATTTCAGTACAGTACAGTACAGTACAGGCTGCTGTCTCTTTTTATCACATTATTGGTGTGAGTGTTGGCTTGAGATGTATTTTTGTGTAGAACATTTAATTTCTTTTTCCAAGTCTTGTAAAGTCTGTTTCTTCTGCCATACTGTACTGGGTGGCTAGGTTAGGTTACACAAAATCTACAGTGCAGCTGCTACAAAAATCACGGGTAATCCCAACAATTTTTTAATCAATGGGAGTTGGTGGTACACTGTTAGCAGTTAGTCTCTCAGATACTGTGGCCTGGGCTCATTCCCCAACCTGGGACACACTGAGATGAGTGTTACCCAGCGACACGACCAAACATGGCAGGTTTTCTCTGGGTACAACAGTTTCCACCTGTATTAACACTGGACAATACTTGTCAAAACACTGGACAATTCAGGTCAAAACACTGGACAATACAGATAAAAATACTGGACAATACAGGTAAAAAAATAACAATGAACAGACCAACTGCCCGAATGGTTAGTAACCTGATAAGTGGTGGAAAGATAATAGACCACAGACAGGGCCGGATTTACCAATAGGCCAAGTAGGCCATTGGCCTAGGGCCCACTGGTATCTGGGGGCCCACTGAAACTAATTTGTCGCGCAGCGTGCCAGCGTATAACCTTGTTTCAAGTGTACACCGAGTATTTCATTACCGTATATAATATATTCACAACCATAAGAGCCCCTGTACAATAAGTATAGGGCCTGGAGTATGGCGCCCCTGTACAATAAGTATAGGCCCACAGTGGTCTTCAACTGGTGGGCCATGGGGTGGTTCTCAGTGGGCCACAGACTAGGCCCTATAGTAAAATGAAGAAAATAAGATAAAATAAGATAATGAAAAAATATATATATACTGTATTGTACATTTTTTAAATGTCCGTGTCTGTGTCCCACCATCGATCGATCTATATATCTATACATACATATATACTGGAGAGAGAGAGAGAGAGAGAGAGAGAGAAAGAGAATAAAGTTCAAGAAGCCTTCAGCGCCTTGATGTGTGAAAGACAGGATCGTTTCACGTTCAGTACATGTCAGGGTTACCGTTGGTTTGCTGACAGCTCGCTCAGCCAGTCAGTATCTTCTCAGCCTCAGCTCGGTGATATTTTATATTGTGTACGTGGCACTCATTATTTATTAATGATATTTTACATGTTGCATTAAATGGACTTTAGTGTTATATTTCGTGTGGTTTTGTGTCTATTTTTTGTGATATTGGTATCTCTTATAGACTTACACTATTTGTTTGCTTACAGATTATTCTTGGGGATTCTCATGAGATAAATATGTCGTCCCTGAAAAAATCTGAGTGGCTCACAAAAGAGAAAGTTAAAAGCAGCCAAAGCTGCACAACTGCAATCAGTTGCATAGCTGACAACATTTTTTAAACCAAAAGGAGATTCAGAGCCAAGTACCAGTGACAGTAAACTCCCAGGGGATGACACAGTAGATGTTCACTTTCATGATTCAGATGACGAAGCGAGGTCAGCTGAGTCACAGTCACAGAGATTAAGTAAATTTTCACCTACAGCAATGGAAGTACCACCTGTGACTGAAGCTTCATCCGATTCATCTCAGTTGACTTATAAGAAACATTCTGTGGAACAAGGTGTCAGTGTTGATTTGTGTGTATCAAGTGATCCAGCTGACTGGCTGACAATTGATGATAAACTGATTGAGTATTTACTAAACCTTCCTCTTGTTTACACATCAAATGGCAAATGATGAAAAAGTTAAAAGGGAATGGCTTGTGTATTCTCCAAAAACTGGAGATGTATTTTGTGTTCCATGCAAGCTATTCAGCAAGCAAGTCTCATTGTTTACTTGTGGGTTTAGCGACTGGAAAAACTGCCAGCGTAGAGTTGCTGAACATGAAAGTAGCAAAGAGCATAAAATCTCAGTTACTACTTGGGGTGTGAGGGCAATTACAGCAAGGCGAATTGATTCCACTTTGGCTTTGCAAGTAGAATTGGAGAGAAAATACTGGAAAGAAGTTCTATTGCGCATAGTTGAAACACTAATTTTTAACATCAAGAGGTCTTCCTCTCAGAGGTAGTGATGAAAGAATAGGCTCTAGCAACAATGGGAATTACCTTGGAGTACTGGAACTCCTGGCAAAATTTGACCCTTTTCTTGCACAGCATCTGGAGAAGTATGGTGCTGTAGGTAGTGGAAAGACTTCATATCTCTCAGAGACAACAAAAAGAACAAAAAAGTGAAAACATTTATTTGATGAATCAGTTGGCACTGAAACTCAACTTGATCCACGTGAGAAGCTCAAGGTGGACAATTTCTACACCATATTAGATTGCCTTAGGAATGAATTAGAGCACAGAGTGAATGCCTACTCAGAAATAAAGAAGCTGTTTCGCTTCTTAACGGAGTATGACAGTATGAAATATGATGATCTCAAAGCCCAACTGGAATTGGTTGTCAGTACCTATTCCAGTGACCTGGAAGCATCTGTTCTAGATGAGTTTTTGCAATTTAAAGACATTTTGTCTTCGAATCTGACAAGTCAGTGACAAACATCTTCACTTTGATGAGGTCCAAAGATGGTATTTTGACAACTGCCTTACCATCCCCATTACAAATTGTGAAGGAGAGAGGTCTTTCTCTACTCTATCTAGGGTGAAAAATCACCTGAGGTCTACCATGGGACAAACCAGATTAAACTCACTTTCATTATTATGCATTGAATCTGGCCTCCTACAATCCCTT